TTGGGCAAAAAATTTAAAAACAAACATGAGCGTTTGAAATGCGAATGTTTTTTGAATTTAAGGAACAAAATTTTTCTATGATTGAATTAAACGCTTAAAAAATTGAAACGGAATAGAGTTTATTATTATCAGTGAAAAAAAGAAAAATGTATTTGATCAAATGATACGAGAGGAGCAACTGGAATGGATTTTCTCAATAAATTGGAAAAAATCATCTTCAGCAAAAGAGGGAGGAGTTTTTTCACAGATTGGCCCATCTTTCCGATCAAAAAAGGCTTTTAAAAGATCCTGACACTCCAGATAATGGACTTTACGTTATCGAATTGCCACTTTCCAAAAATTAAAAAATATTCAAGTTTTATATTGTGCCCGTATAATGCGATGCTCTTGCAAAACAAATGTATACAAATGTAGCACAAAACTTTGCGTTTGACAAAAATACAAGATGAAAAATTTAACTAATTTTGGGCTTTAAAACAGCACAATAAAATATAAATTTATTATTGCAAAGTAAATTAAATTTTGATTAGTAATCAGTGTACCTTATTTAATTTAAAAAACTTGACAACCCTTTATAATATTTTAATTTTTGACGCATTAACTGAACCTCCCTTTCTTCTTCCAACTGTACCTACCACATTTTATTTTAAAGTAAGTACTTGCATTTTATTCACGTGTGTGATACATCTATGTATGTATGAATGTGTCAGATGGAATAACAGCATGTAAATAAAATTCAATTTATATCTATTAAACGCACGCGTCCCATGTCTGCTTGCGCTTATGAAATTTATATTTCTCATTTGTGAAGCGCCTATATATAATATTTAACATCATATGAAGGGCATATCAGTACATGTGTGTGTGCGTGTGTGTGCGTGCGTGTGTATGTGTGTGTGTGTGTGTGTGTGTGTGTGTGTGTGTGTGTGTGTGTGTGTGTGTGTGTGTGTGTGTGTGTGTGTATAACGTAAGGTCGATGAACACGTGCAACACGTACACGTACAAATGGATTCATCCCATCACGCACACACATGCTGCATGCAAGGAAGCGGAGATATTTTCACCGACAAATGACACTTACAGGCATGCACCTACCTTTCGTTTCACACACCTAACACACTGTCTAGCTTTTCAATGCGTTAGGTGCCGTCAATGTTGTCTCTGCATTGTATGTCGTCTTGAAGATTGTTTAGTTAGCAGCAAAATATTATTTTTGAGATCAAAAAATAGCCTCATTACTTGCTTTTAAGGTACATGGATATTTGTTTATCGTTGGAAATTGTTTCAAAGGCTTAAAATAACCATTGATTGGATTTTCAGTGCCCCCCCGTTTTTATTGAAATGCAAGAGATTTAGTGATTCTTTTTCTTTCTCGTGCCTTATCCTTTTAGGACATTGGCGACCATCGACCTCCACCAAACCCGATCTTTAACACTTTTTAGTAGTTGAAATGTGGTGATACCCAACAAATGACACAAAGACTTCACGATTGTTGTATTGATTAATTAATAGCTTTAATTTGGACAATAATTTTCATATTTCTATCTGCTTTATTTCGTTATATTTTTCTTTCGTTTTTTGTTGAATATGTGTTCTCCGTGGTCGCATCCGTTGTATATTTATTCATCCAAGTCATTTTAGATTCATTTTTATGTCAAACCCAGACTAGCGTCACAACAGTTTAAAAAAGTGAGTACATCTTCAACAAGGCACCTGCACATCATACCACTTGCATACTGAAAACCACTCACATCATCATTGTAAGCTTGCCTATAAATTTATTTTAAAACAAAAATTAACAAAACAATTTTTGGATCATTTTGGTCACGCGTGTCGTTTCAATTAGATTTTAAAATTAAGAAAATATGAGGAAGTTAATAAAAGTGATCATAGCGATGATATAAAAACCGCCATATTAATAATTGCTGCTATTTTTATTATGTTTGCAATGCAAGCAGAGCCCACCCGTCATAAAGACATTGTTGGCACAACTCAACACCGTTGCCATGGTGCCACAACTACAATTTATTTTTGGTAACTCGGCGCAAACACGAGTGGATTTGTTTTCGGCATATACATATATGTGTGGAGTTGGTCGGGTGTTATTAATTATCGGATCGTTAACAAAATCGTTCGCTGGCCATCGATTGGTCCTGACGCAAAAGTACTTCATTATATTCTTTGATTGGCGGCTACGTTCTAATTTACTCCTTTCAAGGATTTGTTCCTCATGTTTTCTTTTTATATTCAGGCTTCACTATTCTGTTTTTAATTCATTATATTTGCTGTTATTGGTATGCATTTTTAAAATAATAACATTAAAATTCAGTGTACAACTTGAAATTTTCACAAGAAAACATTTTTAGTTTTGTTTTCAAAACAACTTGTCCATCCAATAAAATGAAGAAAGCTCTGCACAATGAATGTAGAGACGCAAACACAATGTCTAAAAAAATAAGATTTCTAAACCAAAATATTCAATGAAAATTTATTTAAAAGCAAACGAAAAAATTTACACAGAAGATTAGATAGATTAATTTAAATTTATTAAAAAAAAATTTTATTTACAAATGATAAATTTCAAAAATTGCTGCTAACAAAAGTTATTAGGTGCAAAACCAAGCGAATGATGAAATCGTCTTTAAACAAAGATATGTGCATGCATTTACTCGCGTGTATATATATCTTATATATACACAAACATACACGTTATATATATATATATATATATATATATATATATATATGTTTTGTGTCTGTATATATATACAGGTATATGTATATAATATATATAAATCCTTACAGGTAACAGGTATGAACTTTGACATTTTGATTCAATTTGTACGTGCATCGTGAGTGTATGAGTGTAGTGTATGTGTTTTGTTTGTTTGTTTGTGTGTGCGTGCCTGTGTGCAGTGTGTGTTAGGGGAACAGAAATTTTCCCTTCAAATGTATATATATATATATATATATATATATACATTTATATTTATATTATATTTATTTAAATTTATCCATCATCATGCATGTATATATTCATATCATAGGTTACACATAGGCCAACTTTGTGACAAAATGTCAAATATCACGACCAGAAATTTCACGATCAGTTTCTATTGGAATTTTCCTTTAAATAAATTGATCGGACAATAATTCATCTCCTTCTAATCATTTTAAGCCAATGTTTTTAAAGTGTCGCAACGTGTTCTTATCGTTTGTTCAAATTTGCTCTTGTTTGTTTTTTGAACAATCCTCAACCGTCTAATAATTGTTATAAAAAAAGCCAGTTATGTAATCAGATCTCATTAGTTGCGGATATTAAGATATTAAATTATGACTGCTTTCGACATTCAAAAAACTTTTGCGACACAATTTTTAGCGAATGTTTAGCTGAGTTTGAACATTAATATTTCAACGTTCTACACGTAAGTTTTTTTTAAATTCGTTATTTTCTCCATATTAAATTCAATATATTCAGTTATGCGTTTATTTATAATTGCCCATATAATTGTAATAAAATTTTACATGGTTCCAGATATTATGTTTCGTTTTTAGCAATGCTTTCTGTGATAAGATAAAGTTGACTAATCGAACATTTTTTGAAAAATTTTTAGTATTTTTCCACTGAAAATCAATATTTTAGCACTATTCTTTCTTAAACATCATTATTTTCCTCCATTGTAAAATTTCACCTGACCAGGATGCAGAAATGTTGTTAATTCAACTTCGATCATGTCGATATCTCATTAAACTTCCTTGATATTTTTTACGTATAATGGTCGTTGCATTAAACATTCATCAAATCTGATCATTTAAAGCAGCAAACATCTGCAATGACTGACACACACACACATTACACATTTGCGCTGTTTGTTGCACTGTCTACTGGTCGAAGTTTTTGTTGTTTCACATTTATATTCACTAGACTTTCTTGTTTCTTCTCAAAAGGTTAATCTTTTCCTTGAATAAATTTTAGTTATGGCTTCACTCAAAAGTTGATTGAAATTTTGAAAATGATGCTGACGCGTTAAATTTATCGCTTGATTAAGTCAATTGAATTAAGTCGGTGCGATGTTTAATTAAAGATTTTCATTTCATTTCATGCGGTCGATGATTAATACTTTCTTTGCATTCAACAACAAAACTTTACAAGTACATTTTAACAATTTGACTTAAAATCGTTTTGATTCTTCGTTCTGGTGATTAATCTTCTTTGTATTATAACTCTATTGAAATTTTTTTTAATTTATAGTTCCAATATGAACGCTAATCTTAGGCATAACTTATTTTATCATTACTAAAAAATGTTTTTTTCTCAAACACCAAACTGCCGTCCTTTACTCATTTACACATTACGTTAAATAATATCTGCAACGCAAGCTGCTTTGATGTTTTTTCATTTATTTCTTTGAAATTATTCTTTGAATGATGTTGCTAACAGGAGACAGCAAGGTTAAAGCGCTCACCGAACTGATTAAATCGATCGTTGTGATGTGATTTAATCAACATTTAATTATACTAGGTAGGTACACCTGGAGTGTCGCTTGCTATGTTGTGTCGTCCTGCTTTGCGAAATTAAAATACTCATTAAATTTTTAAAATATTTTCAAGTAGATATTAAAATTTTTTTAACATTATTATAAAAAATTTTCAAATGTTGTTATAAAAATCTCAATGCATTAATCAAATTATCAAGCTGACACATTTTTTAAGTTTTTCTTTCATTGATAAGATTTCTTTTGTTTAGCATTTTTCACATAAGATTGCTCTTGTTATAATTCTACAAATCTAATAACATTTTTTAATTTGTTTTATTTATTTATTTCATATTTGTTTCAATTTGTTTCAGGCTTGGGTTATTTTTTATATTTGCGGTCGTTGTCAAACTTTTAAAAATTAAATAGTTCAATATTCTCAACCGCAGTTGGTCATTCTAGAGCCATTCACGTCAGCATTAACATGCTTTTAGAAAAGCCAAGTGATTGACCACTGAACGAAAGATGCCGAAGAACTCATCGAATGGCGCCAACAACCACCAACCTCCCGTCAGCTACTTGGGCTGCTCCGTTAAAGAACTTCAGGATCTCATGCAGTTGAGAGGCACTGAGGCTTGCGAGAAACTGAAGAGCAAGTACAACGGAGCAGCTGGATTGTGTGATAAATTAAAAACATCTTCAAACAAAGGTGAGACTCGTATTCAAAGTTGTCCTCGAACAAAAATATAATATTGTCGTTTGATATGTGTTATTCAATGTTTGAACAAGAGGCGCTTTAATGGGCTGATTGAAATGCGTTCGTTTGTTTGTTGTCGATAAATAAAATGAACGAGCGTTCATTTTATTTATCGACAACTGTGTAAACATGCGAAATGAAAAAGTTTTGAAAACAGAAATTGTTTTGTAAGACCATTCCTGGAAATAAAAAATTGAAACTTTTATCCAAATGTTTATAAAAAACAATATTTCAGCATAAAACAGATTTTGTGAAACATAAGGTTGAATGCGAACGTTATAAAGGTTAGATATAAACATGTAAAATGTTTACATCTTTCTAAACTGCTCAAAAAAATTACAAACTAAAACTGTTAACAAGAATTCATTCATTCATTAATGTGGCATTTCCAAATTATTTGTTTAGCATACTCGATTCTTGCAACTGTATTTTTTCAAACTAAATCATAAACTCAAAACATCGAAAAGACGGCATTCAAATCTTCTTAAGAATAGAGCTGAATAAGTGTCAAGAAAAATCGCGAATCCATTAATCTGATCATGAATGGAAAGAGTGCTTTATACGTTAAGACTTTGTACTTAGACATCCTCGATTCGTCTCATTTTTTATAAACGATATTTCTTTTCTTTCTGTAATAGTGGACAACGGCATTAAAAATCAACTAAAAATGTATAATTACGGAAAAGAGCAACGAATAATCTACAAAGCATAATTGATTGGTTTGAGTATAAAAAAAGATGTTCACATAAAAACATAAACACACACGCATGTACGATTGAAGGGTTAAACGCGACGGAAGATGATTTGAAACAGCGAAGGTCTCAATATGGTCGCAACGAAATTCCTCCGAAACCACCGAAATCCTTCCTGAGGCTCGTCTGGGAGGCCCTACACGATGTCACTCTAATCATTCTCATCATTGCCGCCATTATATCGATAGGACTTTCATTCTACAAACCTGACACGCACAGTAAGTCCATGAATTTAAATAATTTTTACAGAACTGCATACCAAATTGCTTACTCGATTGAAACAGTCGATTCATCAGAAAGTGAAGCCAGCTGGATAGAGGGCGTGGCAATATTAGCGGCCGTTGTTGTGGTTGTCTTTGTGACGGCATTCAACGATTGGAGGAAGGAGAGGCAGTTTCGAGGTTTGAAGAACAAAATCGAAGGGGACCACAAATTTAACGTCATCAGGAACGGCGAAACAACTCAAGTGCTGGTCGCCGATATCGTAGTCGGTGACATCTGCCAGATTAAATATGGTAAACGCATTGAGTGTGCCCATTATTCACTCTCATTAAACTGAGTTGTCGTAGAAATGAATATTAACAATACCAGCGCTAGATTAATTTATGTTCTAATTGTGAAATGCAATTTAATCAATTTTTTTCTTTTTGACAGGTGATTTAATACCAGCAGATGGAGTGCTGCTGCAGAGTAACGATTTAAAGATTGATGAAAGTGCGTTAACGGGTGAGTCAGACCACGTGAAGAAGGGTGAATCAACAGATCCCATGCTCCTATCAGGTGGCTTGCTGCATATCATTAACGTGTTATGAAATATTGTTTGATGATTGTATAAATTTTTATAATCCTGTCCTTCGTCAAACATAATTTTTTTGAATAAATAAAATTTTTATTTAAATAATGAAATTATTTATTTAATTATAACTTTTTTGTTTAGTTAAACGATTGTTCAGCATTCTGATTATTATTTTATTGATTGAAATACATGGGTAGTTTTTGTTTGTCACTTGTTATTCAGTTCGCAAATGACTCAGCCTTACCACAGATAAATAAATGAACTTCAAACTATGGATAAATCTGGTCTGTCTGCAAAAATTTCAAACTTGAAAAAACAACAAGCAACATTGCTAACTTTAATAGAACGATTGGTTGATAATAAAATGTGCAACCTAACAAAACTTTATAGGCACTCATGTCATGGAAGGAAGTGGAAAAGTTGTCATAACGTGTGTTGGTGTCAATTCACAAGCTGGAATCATATTCACACTGCTTGGAGCGACCAGCGTCAAAAAACCGAAGGAAGCCAATGACATAGAAAACATAACAGGTTGGATCATTTCATTTTTATTAAAGGATAAAAAGCAGTGATCAACACATGCATTTTTGTAACTTTCACATATGACTTAATTGAATTGATACAAAATATACCATGATTTTAGTACTTTTACATTTTTTTTATTCCAATTTTGTTCATCATATGTTTTATATAAAACATTTCTTTATTATTTTACTTATTGCGAAAGTTTACCATTATGGTATCTGGATATCTCTTGACATTTAGAATCCAAACTAAGTATCTTATTTGCTTTTTACTTCTTTGAATTTTTTAACTGTTTATCTTTTACAAGTTGAGTTAATACAGTAATTATTTGTATTGTTTTATTCAGAAAGGTTTTTTAAAAATTAAATTATATCACCAAATATAATGACATCTTCATTTAATCATCATTCTTTTAACATCATCATTGCACTAACTATTCACATTAACATTCACAATAATTTTGCTCCCGCAGAGCCAGACAATCGTGCTGCTTTTAGTTATAAAATCCATTATGAAAAAAAACGTTATGATGCTGGTAAAAAATTAATTAATTTTTTTCTTTTTAGATTTAGAAAATGGAGTTGATGACGTCGCAAAGGTGGAAACAAAATGCATCTAAGTTCTTTTTTAGTCTTTTTTCTATTAACATTCTCTTAATGTAAAACATTTTTTGAATTTTTATTATGTTTCCCCCAAACACATAAGCTTCATTATAACTTATCATTCATTCATTCGTTCGTTCGATCGTTCGTTTGTTTGTTTGTTTGTTCGTTCGTTCGTTCGTTCATTCATTCATTCATTCATCCATTCATATGGAACTTTTTTATTTTCTTATATTTTACAACCCATCATGGAAACCACTTTCATGTTTTCAACAACAATTTCCTTACCAGCGAATACAATCTGTGACACTTGATTTGTATTGTTTTAACAATTTGTTTGATGTTAAAGAAAGTAACGAAGAAGAAGAAAGACGAGGAGGAGGAAGACGAAGGTGATGAACTGAAGTCAGTGCTTCAGGCCAAGTTAACGAGATTGGCCATCCTCATTGGATACGTAGGTAGGCAGATATATATTTTTAATTAGTTCCCGTTGCTTTTTGTTTCATTCTATTTTAATGTTTCCGCACTATTTGAAGAATGTGTCTAAGAAGTAAACCAATTCACTCTTAACACCAGCTATTTTTCATTAGAACAAATTATTTAGATCAAACATAAAACATGTAGGCCTCGTTTTCAACAATCTAATATTCTGTTTTCTTCATTCTTTCATTATTTCATTCTTTATGCAATGATTCAACAAAATTGATACAAACAATTATTAGTTTATCAACTTTAAAAACATGGGACCAAAATTGTAATTAAATAGGAACAGCAGTTGCAATATTGACGTTCCTCGTGCTAATCTTGCGGTTGTGCATCGACAAGTTTGTCATACACAAACAAGCTTGGTCCAACGTGTACATCCAAAAATTTGTACAGTTTTTCATCACTGCTATCACTGTTCTGGTAGTTGCCGTTCCAGAAGGCTTGCCCCTGGCTGTTACTATATCGCTGGCATATGCCGTTCGGGTCAGTGATTACCTTCCTCTTAAGTTATTTTTAATGCTGCTAGATGCTACTGTTGTGTAAAAAACTGTATTTCAAAATTTAAATTCTATAAACGAAAAATCGAACCGGATTATTTTGACTAAAAATGAAAGAAAATGATGCACGACAACAACTTGGTGCGGCACTTGGATGCCTGCGAGACGATGGGCAATGCCACTGCCATCTGCTCAGACAAGACAGGCACCTTAACAACAAACAGGATGACTGTCGTTCAGAGTTACATTGCAGGTTTTTTGCTCTCTTCTGTCTCCATTCATTAAACTACTCTTGAAACTCTTTTATTAATAGTGCCGGTTTTTTGAAGTAAATATTTTATCTTATTAAATAAGAAATCAATTAATTAATTAATTAATTAAATAGATCTTCAGATATTTATGCGTATTGTATGAATACTTGACAGGTAAATATTACAAGAAGCTACCGACGTTCGACGAGCTGCCCGCACGCATGCGCCATCTCATGGTCATGGCCATTTCAATCAACTCTAGCTACACGTCGCTTGTGGAAGTTCGTACTAACTAACTAACATAAGGACCATCTTCAATATTATCTGCTGAAAACTAAAGAACGTCATAAAATTATTATTTTTTTTATATTATAACGAACAAAACTATTGAACGAAATGATGAACCATGCAACAAAAATTCACATGGAATGAATAAATTTGTTGGAATATATAAACAATATGTTAATTATTTAAAAATCTCAAATATTCAGCCTTCAGAAATCAAAGGACAGCTGCCGAAACAACTCGGCAACAAAACGGAGTGCGCGTTGCTAGGGTTTCTGCTGGACATGGGACAAAGTTACCAGAAATACAGAGAAGAAATTCCTGAAGAAAAACTTTTCAAAGTAGTTCTACTATTTTATATGTTCTCGTTCAATAAGAGTGTTATTGCATTCTGAGTTATAAAATAACATTACTGTACTTGAACGGTAGCTAAACGTATTTTCTTAATTTACGCAACGTAGGTGTACACATTCAATTCAGTCCGCAAATCGATGACGACCGTTATAAAGAGAGACGGAGGCTACAGAGTTTTTTCCAAAGGTGCATCGGAAATCGTGCTCAAGAGGTCATCGCTAACTTCATTTTTAATTATACTATTTTTCAGAATTTTTTTTCAAATTAAAAATTGTTTTTTTTTTTAATTATTTGATGTAATTCAAATTATTGCATAAACCGGGCATAAAACTGCCTGAGTTTTTATTTCCAAGCGCACATTAATTCTCCTTTTTGAGTTAAGTATTGTTATATTACTAGCATTAACCTGATTTGAACATAAAAATTTAATTTGCAGTTTTAAACTTTTTATATGTAATTATTTTTTAATACCATATTAAATAAATAAACATTTTTCATTAGATGTAAATACATATTAGGACCAGCTGGTAAAGTTGAATTGTTTCTGGATAAAGACCAGCAAAAAATTGTAAGGAATGTCATTGAACCTATGGCGGCTGATGCGTTGAGAACGATTTGTATAGCTTACAAGGACTATGTTAGAGGTTTGAAAATTAGAAAAAAAATTTTGAATAATATTTCTCTAAATATGGCCCGTTCGATAACAACAACATTTAAGATTACATAACATTAAGAGTGTTTCAGACGAAACGTTTTTCATCTATACAAAATTTTAAGTGATGATGTATTAAAAATGTGTTTAACGTATAAATAAACAGACTCAGGAGATGATAATGATGTGGTCATGTCATCTGAACCGGACTGGGATGCAGAAGAAGACATCATATCAGGGTTAACATGTATTTGCATTGTTGGCATTGAGGATCCGGTTAGACCGGAGGTACGATTTTTTAAACCGTCGACCAGTTATTAACATGCTTAATATTTGTAAAAATTCATAAGTGAATTAGATTTTTGGAATATCTAATTGGTTGATAAAAATTATATTAATGCTGGTGTAAATATTTTTATTCTAAAAAAGGTGCCAGATGCTATTTATAAATGTCAACGAGCGGGCATAACAGTACGTATGGTGACAGGAGACAACGTCAACACAGCTCGTTCTATCGCAACAAAATGTGGAATTTTGAGACCTGGCAGTGACGAGTTTTTAGTTTTAGAAGGCAAAGAATTCAACAAGAGCATCAGAGAAGGTCCTGATCAACCAGTTAGAAAAATTTTTTATTCAGTCAATTCAACTAAGCGCTACCGGTAGTTAATTATTGAACCTACGTTCAACTTCAAACAACGAACATTCTAGGTAAAACAAGAATTGATTGACAAAATTTGGCCACGCCTTCGAGTTATGGCTCGATCATCACCGCAGGACAAATACGTTCTCGTGAAAGGCATCATTGACAGCAACCTCAACAACAGCAAGGAAATTGTTGCCGTCACTGGCGATGGTACGAACGATGGACCTGCCCTCAAGAAGGCTGACGTGGGATTTGCCATGGTAGTTGTCGCGTTTTTGTTTTATTTAAACAATTTGTGCAATTTTTTCTTTAAACTTTGGTTTAGAAAGTTAATCTGTTTAAAAATGAAAGTAAAAAAAATTCATGATTGAAATGTTAAAAACTGAACAAAATTTTTTTAGTTTTAATAAATTTTAATTGTCCGAGGAGTTCAACAATGATTTTAAAAATAGACCTAAGACGAATTTGGTTACAAAATGAAATGAATTAAAATTGTATGTTCAACGAAGGGCATAGCTGGTACGGATGTGGCGAAAGAAGCTTCGGACATAATCCTGACTGACGATAACTTCACATCCATCGTGAAAGCTATCATGTGGGGCAGGAACGTTTACGACAGCATTGCAAAGTTTCTGCAATTTCAACTAACCGTCAATTTCGTCGCCGTTGTAGTAGCATTCTTGGGGGCTTGCATCATTGAGGTTGACAATGACATTTTGTGACATGTAGTCAACATGTTTCGACATACAGGATGATTTTCTATCCACACACTAGCTCTAACATGAAAAATCTGATTTTTGTGCCTAGTTTGCAATTCAATCACTGATAAGTATATTTTAGTAAAGAACGTTTTACCAAAAAACAGAAAATAAACATTCTATTTAAACTGAAATGCGTAAGCATAATTTTGGATTTGGTTTAATATCAGTTCATCAGATTCAAAGCAAAATAATAAAAAAATCCTCATATTTTTTTAAACATTTTTTTTCTATAAAAAGGAATCTCCGTTGAAAGCAATACAGATGTTGTGGGTCAATCTGATTATGGACACTCTAGCTTCACTCGCACTGGCCACCGAACTGCCCACCGAGGAGCTGTTGATGAGAAAACCTTACGGAAGGGACCATTCGTTGATATCGAAGATTATGATGAAGAACATCCTCCTACAAGGATTGTACCAGCTGACCGTCGTTCTGGCTCTTGTGTTTGCTGGTTGGTTGTTCAAAGTTATCTCTTTGACAATATTTTTTGCTTAGAAAGAGCTCATTTTTAATTAGCAACAATTTTTATAATGTCATTTTTTTGCTTAGGAAGAGCTCATTTTTAATTAGCAACAATTTTTATAATGTCATTATTTAAAAAAATATTCGGCAAAGATTTTATAAATAAGCACTTAATTGAAGCTTCGTGTATGTGTATGACTTCAACCAGGGAACCGACATTCCCGCACATTCACCGCTTTCACAACTTATTCATTTTATTTGTCCATTTTTGTTGTCTACCTTCATCATTAGTTACGCCATTTCATCAACATTATTTCTTGACGTTTTCAATTAATGATTTTATCATTTCTGCCCGTCGAATCTCCAAAGTAACGATATCAGTTCTTTTCAGTTTTCAGCAGCTTGTCTCATTAGGTTGGCGAGTTTGCTCAGATGGTAGAAGTTCTGTCACGGGTCATTGCTATGTATGATCAGTTTGGAATATTATCCGTCCAAACCACAAAGACTATTTATTCTACGCCTCACGCATATGACAAAGTGCTGGAGAGTACACATAAATTGCATATGTACTGTCCATAGTGTGGTTGAAATGAACGACTTTTCATAGAAGCTCTATATTGTGGCACAACAGTTTAATTGCTATCGACTGAATGAGAAATGATATATGAGCATGAGCAGCTTTGCGTTTCTCGGAACATCACATTATGCGCATTCACTCATCAGTTTAATTCAAAAGTTCTTATTACAACATACCTAAGCACTATATAATTCAGAAGTTTTGAATTAGCTTTCAATGATTACATTTATTTTGAAAATCTACAAAAAATGAACTTGACTCAATGAAAATATCAAAATTGCAGGCGAGAAATTAGTAAACATCGAAAGCGGTCGAAATAAAAGTGGAGAGCCGCCTTCGCAGCACTTCACATTGGTGTTCAACACTTTCGTCTACATGACTCTCTTCAACGAAATTAACTCAAGGAAGATCTACGGAGAGTCCAATGTTTTCCAAAATATTCACACCAACCCTCTATTCATTGCGATATGGATATTAACATTTGCACTACAAGTCAGCTGTTTTTAGAAATTGTCTTACATATTTCATAATTAAATATCAAACAAACGTAAAAACTTGTGTTGACGCACCAGAAGCCAATAAAATTTTATACGCAAATTGATTAATAGCACTTAATTAACATTTAATTTAATTACAAAAATTTATTTCTATGAAAATACTTGAAGGTGATCATTGTCCAATTTGGAAGCGTGGCATTTCAAACGTCAGGTCTCATAGCTGATCAGTGGATGTGGAGTTTCTTTTTTGGCATAAGTGTCCTACTCTGGCAACAGGTCACTTTATGTATATTGCCTTTGTGCGTGCCAGTATGTGTGTGTGTCTGTCTAATCAGTTAAAATCACATTACACAAAAAGAATTAAATTCGAGGTCGTTATTTAAATGAATCTTGCAGATCATCAACCTCATCAACATTCACAAAATGCCAAGTGTGGATGTTGATCCTGACGAAACCTACATGAATCCGTACGAAAACCCCTCCACAATACACCAATGGATTATCGGCAAAAGAGTTTTAACACAAGTATCTATATATTTTTTTTTAATTTTTGTAAAATGAATACATTTTAATTAATACGATTTGTTTCCTGTTTATTAATGAAATAATGTTAAAATAATTCCAGATGAAGATAGTGAGAGTCTGGGAGGGTGCTTCACAAGTTCCTCGATCGAAATCTAGACAATCTCTTCTTTACAACTCTACCTTTTCAGTCAGATCTAAAAAATAAATAATTTTTAATGCATAAATAATGTCCATTATACATATTGTTGGTTAATCATTTCATTGTATATATTTTTTCTAAATGGTTTATTAAAAATTAGAAATATTTACAAAGTTAAATTAAACAAATATTTAAAAAAATATTTAATTAATTTTACCGTACTAGCAGTTTTAGTTTGAATTTCATTAATATAAAATAAGTTTTTAAGTTTTTTAAATTTTTTTAAATAAGAAAATGTGATGGGCAACAATTTTTCGCACTGTTTGTTTGTTAAATTTATTTCATCGATAGTTTCGTTTTCATCCGCCAGTTATTTGCAATGAACAACGAAACTGATTTTTAAATGTTTCATCTAAAAATAGTAAAATTTTATTTCTTTGTGCTTCTCACAGCAATAAGAATCTTCCTTAGACCTTAAAAAAGGTTATAGAATCTTAGACCAAGTCGTTTTAAGATTTACCTCCATTTTTATACATCGGCACCGACGTCCAATCATGTAAATGCATCCTCCATCCGTCCCATTTTCGTTGGGATTTTGACTTTATTTGTTTATTATTTATTTGCCAATTTATTTATCTAAAATGTGTTCTGTAATTATTAAATATTTATGCCAAAAATTTTAATTAGAAGTTTTGCAATAGATTTACAGTTTTATTCGTTGCTTTGTCGAAAATAAATAAAAAAAACTTCATTCAACATTCCCAGAATTATTTTATTTATTGCGACTATGAGCATGTGACAACTCCTTTACCTAGAATCTTTCTGTTAGATTATTATGTTTATAATTTACATTCAATTGTTTGTTATTTACTGAACTTAATTCATTATTCATTTATTAATGAGTGTATTTTTGGCAAATTCAACACACTTGAACATCGTACACAGTTTACTATTTCGACTTGTTACCACCTTTTAAAAATACTTTATTCAAGAAGATGGCACATTGAATTACTTGAAGTTAACTTCAGTAGTCTGGAACAACAAATTTTTAATAAACTTGTCGCCAAGTTATCGTTAATAAGCGATTTGATTTAATTTCATGCAATAAAACTTTACGCTAAATTAATTAATCACAAGAATTGCCAATTATCACCAAGAATTTTTAGCCAGACCAATTAAAATAGTTTTATTCAAAAAAATTATTTCTTCAGCTATACATGGTTTTCAGATATGTGCCATAAACATTAAAAACAAAATTATGACAGCATGTGACTGATTTAATCATTTTGAAATATGATTGTAATAAAAAATTATTTCTAGGTGCATTGCATATATTGATATTTATGGCCTGCTTATTAATGTTACTAATAGCAACAAGTTTAATATACAACATGCTCGCATGCTACCTGCTTATACTCAACAAACTCCATGCAATTAAATAGCATAAGTGTTGAGTGTTTAATATAAAAGTGATAAACAAATTTTGTTCAGTGGCTTCAATCGTTTGACTAAAGTATCTACTATTAATTACATATATCAAGGTGAATATCGATATGAAAGTTTATTGTAATTATCATTTTTATTATTATTATTTTTACTATTTATTTTATTCATTTATTTTTTAATAAATAATCAATTAAAACGAAAAATAAGTGAAGTAATTTCTATCCACTTAGCAGGTCAGCGATGTCATCAGCAAGTCCACTGATTACGAGGAGATATTTTCATTCGCGCAGAAAACCATCGAACGAACCACCGCCATCAACTGGTCCAGGAAGCAAAGTTAAATCATTATCGGCAGAGATAAAACGACATATAGTAGAAAAGAGTGGCAAGGTTTCTGCACATGAGCTTATTTTTACCACAATGATGACTAAAAAGCTTCCGGAAGAAATATATCAAAATGAGGAGTTGCAGCTGACGGCCGTGCATCTCGACGCTTCCAATAACAGAATGAAAGAAATGCCGAAAGAATTATCGAATATGAAACATTTAGAATCTATAAATTTGAAAAATAACAAATTTGAAAAGCTTCCAGAAGGTGTCAAGTCGCTGTTAGACCTCAAATTTTTAGATGTTTCTGACAATAACCTAAGAACTCTGCCGACGAACATATATAAACTGAAGCATTTATCAGAATTAAAAGTCTCTAACAATGCTCTAAAGTCTGTCTCAATAAAATCGGATGCAACGAAAAAATTGAAAAGTGTAGATTTCTCACATAATAAAATTAAAAAACTGAAAATGTCTATCTATAAAATTCCTCAGTGCATTAATTTATCGCACAATAATCTAGAAGAGCTGCCAGCTGTAAATTTAAAAACGACCTCGGTCAAAATTTTGAATATGTCTCACAATAGATTGCAATCACTTCCGATGGGTATAGAAAACCTTCAAAGATTAACTACTTTAAATATTTCTGACAATCGGGTTACAAAAATACCTGATGAGCTGGGAAAGTTGAAACACTTGAGAATTCTTGATTTATCGAAAAATTCCCTAACATTTTTACCAGAAAGTTTTTGTGACATAAGTTCTTCGTTATATGAAATTTGTTTAGATAGGAATAATATAATTTCTCTTCCAAATAATATCAACAAGTTTTCAAATTTGAAATCGTTCAGAGCATCGTGCAACAAAATTATTAAATTACCGGACACTTTTTCTGCTCTGCCAAGTTTGGAATACGTTGATCTTTCAGTGAATGAGTTAGTTGACATTGAACCATTGATGAACTTAAAATCGTGCAAATTTATAAATATTTCTGAAAATTCAGTGAAACAGCTTTCAGAAAATCTCTACAATCTGTCATCCTTATGTTACTTCAACGCTTCTTGCAATAAATTAACCCACTTACCCGATGCGATATGCTTTCTGATAAACCTAAAGTACCTCAACGTATCAAAAAATGTTATTAAAATGATGCCAGCAGAATTTGGTTTACGACAGTTATTAGAATATTTGAACGTTTCTCACAACGATTTAGAAGAGATCGATTTTGAGTTGCGACATTTCCCACTTTTGCATGAGCTACATCTTGACGGAAACAAACTTCTACAAGTACCTAACTCTGTACAAAAATTGGATGAACTTAAAATTTTGTCCATTGCATATAATAAGCTAAAAGATATTGCATTACCAAAAAACTTAAGGGCGTTGAATGTATCAAACAGCGATATTAATTTTGATAATGAGAGCGTGTTTGACGTTTTTTCTCAAACAAATTTTTTAAACCTAGTAAAACTTGATTTGAACTGTCTAAATTTAAAAATCATTCCAGATGATATATTTTCACTAAGTGCTCTCACTCATTTAAACGCATCGCACAATTTAATCGTTGGTCTCTCAATGAAGTTTAAACAGTTAACAAATCTAGTACACCTTGATTTGTCTCATAACAAGATAAACGATATTTCCTCTATCAGCTGTTTGAAGATGCTGCAGTTTTTAAACTTGAAATCAAATTTTCTAGAAATATTTCCTTCTGAATTGATTCAGTTGAACAGACTGCAGATTTTAGATATTTCAGAAAATCAGATAAAGATTTTGCCGGCTAGTCTCCATCGTTTGTATCAACTGCTAGACCTGAAAGTCAGTGACAATCTTATAAAAATATTTCCGAATCTCAATATAGATGTCCTAGCCTCATTAAAATCTCTTGATATATCAAATAATGAAATAGAAAATTTTCCCAAAAATTTTGTTCACCTTTACCGATTGGAATATTTAAAGGCAAGCAACAACCTGCTTGCAGATGTTCCTGACAGTATAAAGTTAATGGCCAGTCTAAAACACTTTGACATATCAGATAATATGATTGAACGAATCCCAGATAGTATCATTCGATGCAAAAAATTAAAATATTTGAACATTTCCGACAACAAATTGGCCAATTATCCGGACATATTTCACACGATAAGACAGAAAGTTGAAATTGTCTACGGTTTACAATCAACCGAAAAAGTAAAAATGTTTAAGACCCACTAACGGAAACATGTTCAATTAAAATTATTTTCAAAATTAATTGTTGTCATTGTTATATATATATGACTGTCAATCAATAACGCGAATACTTATTAGTGCTTTAAAATGATGATTTTGTTTATACAATAATTATAACAATGACCTAAATAGTTTTTCTTTCTATTTATACATCAGCTCAGCACGGCGCAATTTGCCGATGAACAAAGACAGCTAAACTATTAATCTCTTTAGTTTTTTTCTTAATAGTTAGTTGTGTTATATTTGAAGAAAATGATCAAAAACAGTAAACAAAAAATTCTTTCTTTATTTTTTAAATTGTAAAATACGGAATTTTTGTGTAGGAATTGAGCTATACCAATTAAACTTAACTTTGGCCAAGATAAGTTTGCATTTTACTCACAATCAATATGCATCTGCCACAGAAAATACCGGGTATAAAATATTAGGATTATATGACGTCATTATTACTCTTGTTGTCAATAAGGAGTTGTTCGATTTTAGATCACCTTACCCCCCTCATTAGCATCTCCGTAACAAAACGACTTGACCCTTCTACCCTGCTGCGTAATAAAAAGTTTCTTGAACGAAAAAACAATTTTTCTTTTAAATTCTTTTATAAAAAGCTTCAATTTTAACTAAATTGTTTTCGGTTTATATTATATATCGGTTTTTTTCTTCAAGAAAAATGTGAAATGTGGTAATATTCAACTAATGACAGAAGGACTTCACGAATATAATTTGTTGTTGACCGCGATCTCTTCGCCCTGCAATCTTTCCAATAGTCGTTAAATCTTCCATTCCTTCCTTTCGGCATGAATGAATGGAAAACCTTTAACTCCCCCGTCCGGATGTAATTAATTTCCTCTTTTCACAACCTGCCTGTTTTAATACTTCGTTATTAGAAGTATTAATAAGGATTCAACTGATTCTCATAATTCTTCTCAAAAACCACATCTCAACAGCACCAATTCTTTTTTCCATTTTATTAGAAATGGAAAAAAGAATTGGCCAGGACTCAGAGCCATAAGTTAGCACACAAAAAATGTAACACTCTCTAACAGTTTTAATTTTGTTGATATTCTAATTTTATTGTTGGTGAGGATGTTTTTCATTTTAGAATATGCACTGGTATGAAAATTAAAACGCGTCCATTGGTAACCTTGTGTGTTGTATTTTGTAAGTCGCAGGCTGTTTCGTGTTTTTTTCGTTCCATTTGAAACGTTTTATCGTCAAAATCACAAAATGCCGAGAAGAAGTGGCGGTGGACCTGCTAGACGTTCATCCCCATCCAGGTGTTTCCTCTTTTATTCACTTATTAATTTTTTACTTCTTTTTTTACTTTTTAATTTAAATTTAATAATAAAAAATAAAAATAATTATTATTATTTTACTTTAATATTTCAATATTTTAATTATTATTACTTATTATTTTAATTTTAAACATTGAAACCTAAAAGTAAAACACAGTTTCAATTAATATTAATTTATCATGAAGATGCAGTTATATGACAATTGACATGAAATGTCTAATAATAATTAATTTATTAATAGATAGAAGAGTAATAGACAAAAATATTAAAATAAAATAGAAGAGTAAAACAAGTTTAATTTTATTATAATTGTATATATAATATATATACAATTATAATAGAATATAACTTAGTAATATGTATATATACTTATAATATTAATAATATTATTAATTAATATTATATTAATATAATATTAAATATAATATTAATAATTAATAATATATACTTAGTAAAAGTAAGAAGCTACATTATATACATACATATACCATACATATACATTGAATTCATTATTATAAATATTTATAAAAATTGATACTATATAATATATTGTATAATATATATAACAGCACTTTCACTTGTGTTCTAAAATGAAATTTTTAATGTTAAAAATGGCATTTAAAATTTTTTTAATTAAATTTCACAAGTTCTCATTTTTAATAAACACACCATAAATATTCCATTATAAAACTTAATAAAAAAAACCTAGTCTAACTCAAAAAACCAGGGCTAGTCTAGAAAAAAGATCAAAGTTTCTACCCAGATTATATTACCTTTTAAACTGTAAATTTGTTAACAAAGGCCAGTAATTTCACATTATTTAAATAAAAAAATTTAATTTAATTAAATTTTAATACTAATACAGATATTTATTTATTTTCATATTTATGCATATCATTTTTAATTTTGTTCTGGTAATGTGAGTGCGTTTGTGATCATAGGAGCATTTGTACTGTCTATACTATATAAACAGAAATTTAAAGTAAATCTATAAATAAAATTCATAAATAGTTTACACTTCCTTAGTAATTTTAGTTACTAATTTTAATTTTATGTTCATTATGAATAAGACTAACTTCCATTAAATAAGTTTTTGTGTTTTGAAGAGGCTTGAGTAGCAGATCGAACCTTCCTGCCAGGACAGCCCCACCTCCTCCTCCAGCTCCTGTTCAGGCTCCTCCGTCGGCAGTTGGACAGCCCAGGCAGCCAGGAATGTTTGCTCAGATGGCTACGACAGCTGCTGGTGTTGCTGTTGGTTCTGCAGTGGTATGTTTTATTTATTTATATTATTTTGATGTGTACCATTGCTTTTAAATTATTTTGGAACATATCATGTCTATTTTCAGTTTGTTAGTTTGTATCAATTCATCTTTCATCATTTGACGTGTTCTATTTCTTCTTACATTATGTTGCATTTAATTAAATTTCAGCCCACAATTTTACAAACATATTTGCTTCAGGGCCATACTCTGGGAGCAGCAATGACGGGAGGTCTTGGAGGATCGAGAGCTCCTGCTGAGCAACCAGTCGAGCAGCAACAGCAACCTGCCTACAATCAACAGCAAACATCCGGCGGTGATAATCCTTGTGCTTACCAGCTGAGACAATTTATTGAATGTGCTCAGTCGCAGCATGACATCACACTTTGCCAAGGTTTCAATGAGGCACTTCGAGAATGCAGAGTCTCCTATGGTAAACAAATTATTTTAAATTTTTACATTGCAATATAATTCATTTCATTTGTTGGCCGTGACTCTGCAATGCTGATGATTGTGAGTGCATCACATTAATACACTAGAAATTACTAAATTAACTGTCACCTGTTGATCATTTGTTACTAGCTTTTTAATCAATATGATGATTGATGTTGCAGTAAAATTATTTGTACTTCCTTTTCTAGTTATAAAAGAATTTTATGGTTCAAGTGAAATTCTGAATGATTGATAATGAGAATTATCTATTAATTCAAATGCTTCATGAGCATTGAAACCAGAATTAACTGGTTTTTTAGCACTGCTTCAGCATGAGCCAAAATTTAAATATTTTTATATTGTTGTTATTTTCAGGTCTTCCGCTCCAGTAACGATTCATATTGATAAAGACGATTGGATCAGTAATTTATTTCTCCAACTTTTTGATTGGAACTATGTTTTGATATAAAGACTTTTGACGATTGAGTACAACAAGTTTACAAATACAGCACTTTCCAACGTTTTTATTAGTTCACATTTATTGACATCAAATGATTTAATAAAGTTTTTCTCTAGGAAAATATTTTTGCAATGCCTGTTACTCATTTACAGACGAATAGTGCTAATTATTCTGTTATTTGTGTTTGCTGAGATATTGTCAATCAATCTGAAGTACCAACCAAATCGCCAAGGTGTGCCAAAATTGTTTGAGGTTGAATTTTCAAATTGAGTGGTCTTTATACAAAATAGATGAATTACTTTTTCTTACATTTCTGGAAACCGGAGAGTTTCAATTTTTATTTGAGGTCCTTAATTTAGAATCTGGCATTTTAAGCCGTTTTAAGCAAGAAAGGTTTGACACTCCCGTTGATATCTCTATTTTATTTATATCTTCCAAACAGAGAGGGTTATTTAAGGATACCCATAGGATTGGTAAAAACATCTTTTTGTAAACTTTATGGGATAGAGAGTCGTAGAGAGAGAATTTGGCGGGAATAGGGAATAATTGACGGGGATGGGAAAAGCGATATAAGCTGAATTTCGGTAAAACAAATTTTAAAAACTGACTTGGTAATAATTTATGCAATGTACAAATGCTAAAAAATATTAACATGGGCACATTTATAATTTAACATCTCGCCGCAGCCACAAATACCGAAAACAATTCAAACCTACAGTCGAGTTGAATCATTTTTTCATTTAAAACGAATTTGTCTCAAGAAAATGTAAAACTTTATTTTGTACGATATAGATAATATCAAATTTGATAGTGGTTAAAAAAGTTTTATTTCGTCAAATTTCAAAACATTTTTTATTTTTTATAAATTTTTAAGAACATGTTTGTAGTTAAATATTTTTGTTCTAATTAATATGGAAATAAAAAAAAACGAAGAAAAACTTGGAAATGAGATTAAATATTATGGAATGGAAATTTTATGGTACAATCATCATCAGCATCGCAATGAAAATAAATTAAGAAGTTTTTTAAATATCAAGGTCTGTTGATTTAGTGTGTTATTTTTATTATTATTGTTATCATTGCCAGTTTTTAAAATCATCAAAATCACATGAACACTGATTTGATATAGAAAACAGTCAGGTAATATGAAAATGGTTTAAAATAAAACATGATGTTTTCTAAATCGTCTATAATTAAGAGGTCAACTTTTATTAATTTCAAAACGTTTTCACAACTGCTCTGCGTATTTTGCGTCAGATTGTATGATTACGAACCGGTCTTTCAATACGATCACACTATCTTCTAAAGTTATTTTATTCAGTTTGGGGATGGGAATTCCTTCATTGCCTTTTTTGTTTATTACATTACTCCTGAAACGATTAAACAAAAGGTTAAAAGCGAAAGTAGCACGTTCTTTGTCATTTTCTTCTAGATCGTCCATGAATTTGATATTGGGCTTCATGTTCGCTGCCCAAAACTTTAAAACGTTATCACTAAATGTAATATTCACATTTAATTTAAGTTCCAAGCGTGTTTTAAGTACATCAATTAACGTATCGTTTGCAAATCTGAACTTGGTAACCACTTCCAAAATGATATCAGACCACACAGCAGACGGAGATATATGAATCTTGGGACTTTCAGTTACTCTGCAGTCCAATTCTAACGATCCCTCTTCTACATCTGGAAGATTCGGAAACAAGGCGGCAGCGCATAATCCTTTTTTGCAGTCAACATCTAAAATTTTCAAGTCTTTACCAAAATTTTTTTTTGCAACATAATAATTCAATTGTTGTGAAAGAAACAAGGAACTGATGTAAGAATTTATCGATTCTTCAGAAATCGAGATGGATATCATTTTGTTCGTTGGATCCGCATTTTGCATCTGATGCTATAAAATAAAATTTGCTTGAAATTATGTTTACTTGTTATATTTATGAAACAAACCTTATATTGTGGACATTGTTTTTCTCCTGAAACGTAAACACAACTTGCTCCCATAAATTCTATCGCTCTTGATCTAATAATTGGTGCCGTTGTTAAACTGTAATATACGAACAGATTGTTTCCCATGGATATATCTGTTTCCAATGATGCAAAATTCTGGTTGACCTTGTCAACTGTTGTAACAACCACGTCACATAGAGTCTTTTTCAAACTATTTTCAATTGAAGAGCTTAAAAATCTTTGAAAATAAATTTATTTATATCAATAAACTGAAAAATTGAATAAATTATTTTATATTCACCTTGTCAGCAAGCTATATATCCATCCTTTTATTCCACGGAAATTGAAATTTATATCACCAAAACTTGCGTCGCAACGGACTACATCAACTTTAGGTTTTCTTGTGTTCAAATCCAACTGGAAATCAAAATCAACTGAAATAGCAGCATTAATGATAGATACAATAGTTGAGCCACTGTCGGAAAATCTAATAAACCGATTTTTTCGGTAACGGTAATTCCAGTTTGTCGAAATTTCAAAGTTTCCATTGCCCAAATACACAGCAATGGTTGAAGTGCCTTCTTTTAAATTGATGTCGAACGTTGGTTTCATAAAATTTGTTATCTGAATGTTGTTATGATGTACATTTCAAGTGGCGTTTTACACTTACAAGTTTTTAATATTTGAACAAAAGACCTAAAATGTTAAATAATTTCCGAAATTTCTCAGTAAATTTGCAAATGTTTCGAACTTAACTTGTATAGTATATATATTGTTTATAGCATAGCATTTAAATTCTGGGCCTTCGCTATACAGGCGTGCTCTGGTTTACAAATTTGTTAGTCGGCGGGCGAATCAGCTAACGCAACATGAGCGTAATGTCAGGCGTTTCTACCTGAAATTGCTGACTAGATTTTGTAGGACTGTATCTTCAAACATTACAATCATGAAAAAAAAGAATTAGAACTTGTTATTGCAGCATAGTGGAAATGTTAAAGTTATTTAAAACATCTAGCTTTAAATGTTAAAGTTATTTAAAACATCTAACTTTAACATTGGTCAATTTGTATCTCAAACCCTCCTTTTCCTCTTCCAAATCAATTAACGGTTTTCCTATCAAAGTCTTCGAATACCTAGAGATTAAGACATCGGCAGCATAGTTGAAACCCCTTTCATGAATTGATATTTTCAGGCAGGTTGCTTGTTGCCAGCAAACGAGTAGCATCAACATACGAACGGTAAAATAATTGACGCGCATTTCGTGGTTAGTTTTTTTAAGAAAATGTGATTAATAAATTGATAGTAAGCGTCAAATTTCACGATGAAGCTTTTATAGCGTTTTTTGATTTTTTTTTACTATGAATTGAAATTTGAATTTTAAATTAAAAGGTTAGTTAATTTTATAAACTTTGCACTGCTCAAGTAAATCCACTTCACTGAAACAATTCAAGTGTAGAATTGTAAATTAAAAACCGCGGTGGATAAATTTTCAAAAGCACTTCAATAACACCGCCATTTATGAATATATTAAGCTGAAGTATTTTTTTTATAAATACAACTTTATTTTTTTCGTTTTCAATCAATAAATCAACCAACCAACCAATCAATCAACCAACCGATCAATCAATCAATCAATCAATCAATCAATCAATCAATCGGTCGGTCGGTCAGTCAATCAATCCATCCATCCATCCATCCATCCATCAATCAATCAATCAATCAATCAATCAATCAATCAATCAATCAATCAATCAATCAATCAATCAATCAATCAATCAATCAACCAATCAATCAACTTTTAAAAAATCACTTCAGCGATGTTCAACAGCGCTCTTCAATGATTTTCAAAAACAGATATTCCAAACAGAAAGGCTTCCAAAAAACACATGAAAACTCAAAATGCAATAAATACTGATTAAATTGGGTTGAATGACTGTGCATGCAGTAATATTTGAAAAACTATGATTTGCAATGTGTTAGTAAACAAAATTAAAATAGGATAATTATTCAAGTTTTTTTATTCTTGTTTTTTAGTTTGTTGAAGAATTGTAAATATAGAGTGAGTTCTAAACGGTGAATTTGTTAATAAACTCATCGCACAGGTCATAAAAATATAATAGATAAAAAAACTGATTTACATGTGGAAGCCCAAATGAAAATGCAGTGAAGTCAGGTGTTTTAAGAAATAATTTTTAGACATTTCTTTAGAAAAAAATTACTTTATTCTGAGTATTCCGATTGATTTTGACAACTATACTGTAGAGATGAATAAATACGTTATAAACATTCTTACTTGTTGTTTTTTATATCTAAAGAAACTCGCAAAAACATCTATTAGAAATGTTTTTGTTTGATAGCGTCTAATGCAGAGAAAGCGAAAAACATCGCCATTGCACAGATTTTACGTTATTTAGAATAGCCAACAAAATTAAAATGTCAAATCAAATAGATATATTAAATTTAATGAAACTAAACGATTTTTGTAAACATATTGCAAAATATAAAGAGATTTTTCCAAATTTGCTACAATTTTTTACTCTCCATTTTCCAAATCTTTAAATTTTTAACACTACATCACATATCTCACATCTGACTGAATAGCAATAAAGCGATCTTTGAATGAAATTTCACTGTTTTCCCAAACAATACCATGAATTTTTGGCAGTGGAAGACCTTTCTGTCCGATTTTGTTGACATTTTTTTTTGCAAATTTTGCAACAACTGTTATACCAAAATTCACTCCCGTTTTGACATCTGCATCGATACTGTCGTCAAATGTTACATTTGATTTCAGGTTCGAGATTTTAAATCCGATGACGTCGTCATTATTGTGTGTAAGTGTAATGTTTATCAGCGTTGTTAAACTGATTGAGAACAAATCAACGACTGTGTTGTTTGGGAATCTCGTCTTTATGAATCCATTAGACGATATGTTGCTCCACATGCGACCATTATAAACGTGAACAATCGGTGCCTCTGAAACGCGATATAATATTTCAAATGATGAATTTGGCATACTCCGTGCTAGCTTATGCATCAGCCTCGCGAAACAGAATCCCGCAACACAGTTAGCATCCAGAAAGTCCTAATAAAGTATATAATAAGTTGTTAAACTAAAAATGTAGAAATTGTATGAAATTATAATTTATAAACCCCTTCAGAGTCCTCAAAACTGTTTTTTTTTATGTTGAGTTCCATCTGATTAGAGAGAAACATAGCTTTCAGATAACTACTTATGGATTCCTCTGATACTACAGCCGTCAACATTTTTGTTGACAAATCCACAGACATTGGTGGCTAATAAATATTTTGATTTATTTTGAAATGAAACTTTTAATTTTCATTTTATTAAAACGTGTACAAAAAAATAGTAACATGACTGGATGGACAATCTTTGTTCTCTGGAAAAAAAACGCAGCCAGCACCCGAGAATTCAACGGAATTTGAAGTGATTGCAGGGTTAGCGGTTAATCGATAATCTAGATATAATTTTTTCTCTAAGGAAACATTGGTATCTAATGTAGACAATTCTTTGTTACCATCTTCATCAATGGCTTTCTTAGCGGCATGACACAATTCCTTCAAAACTTCCTTTTTCAAAGGACTTTTTATAGCACTAATTAATTATAGTAAAAAATATTAGTATGGCAAATCTGGTTATATTATTATAAAAGTTATTAACTGATCAAATTATTGTCAAAGATACTACCCTGCTAGTAAATTATACAGCCACCCATTATTGCCGTGGAAATCAAGGTCTAAATCACCAACATCGCAGTCACAATTTGTCGTGTAAATGTTGGGACGACCTGTGTTAGCATCATAACCAAACTTGACGTTTACAGATATTCTCACGTTGCTCGCATACACGCTGGCTCGACCGCTATCGGAGAACCTTATGAAACGATTCTTTTTGTACTCGTAATGCCAATTGAAATCTATGCTTAGTTTTCCATTTCCCAATGACCAGGTGAGAGTAGATGAATCCGCATTCAAACTGACACTCGTTGTCGGTCTATGAAAGTCTTTTATCTATATTCCATTTATTTATATTAAAAATTAGTTTGAAAAATATAAACGACTTCAAATCACAAAATAGCGTTAAACAAACCAGGATGTTTGAAATTTCATATTTGAAATCTCCATTCCTACCATCGGCATCATTTATTCTTTTGTTGACCAGCTCGCCGGTTAATCTGTCGATCGCTCTGTTTGCTGCGTAATTCAATCCATTATATGAAATGCCAACTTTGAGGCCAGCACTGGTCGAAGTTTGTTGGTCAGACAGCTGGAAACTTATTATCGTGACTAAAGCAAGTACGTACGTAAACATTTTGAAACCTTACAAAATTGAAAATTTAAAGTTCCAAAAGTTCTATCTATTTGTACACACACAGCTGCTTATTTTTTAAAACAAATTCTTAGATGATGATGAAAAATTCTCCCTTTATTTTCCAAAGTGCAAGTTTTTGACAATCTTCAAAGGGTACAAAGTCAATTTCAGTGATCATCTTTCTTAAAATTAAAACTACTTGAACGTCAGTTTACAATTTCATCGTTCAAATGATTGACATTTAAGCAAATTAAAATAACTGAGTTGTTTTAGTTGAATATTACAAATATATACAAATATCATCGATGTTCAAAAGTGTATTCACACAAATAATATATAATGTCTATTTTTTCATTAAACAATCCTTAACAGCGAATGAACTAGTCAACAACCGCAGAAAGATATAGAATAATTATTTTTGAATGCATATTTTCGGGTACATATTCTTAATCAACACTTGTTGGCGTACTACACACAAATATGTGTAACGTCAGTTTACCAAAGCCTTTGTTTGTAAATAGTACACTAACACTATCACTATCACTCTCTCTCTCTCTCTCTTTCTCTCTTACACACACACACGCACACTCATCAATGTAGATGTTTTTATTCAAAACTACTAAAATGCGAAATAAAGTTACTCATCGCTAATTACTAAAATTATTATAAGTAAACCGGCGTTATTTCAATTTAAGAATTTATTCTTAGTGATAGATTTATGAAACGCATTCATAAATTTTTTATTATATATACAATATACTTAGCAATTAATTTTTCAGTATAAAAAATATCAAACAATTTTGTATTCTAATTAAATAGTTAACCACAAGATGAAAATTAAGTCAGATTCGCCTCAAATTTAGATAAAAAATACAAAATGCCATTGACTAGACAAGAGTAGGTAGGTTCACACAAGTTCTTGCTAGTATCTGTAGAACATTTGATAAAAAAAGCTCATTATAATTTTTAACAAAATAAATAATTGTCTCTAACAATTTTTATTTTCAACCCGGTTTTGTCATTAAACGAGTGAGATATGAGGTGTGATATGACGCAATTTGAAACGAAGATGTTTTCGACCGTTTAGGATGCTATAAAATTAAATGAAACAATGAAAATGACAAGCTAATGCTGGAGACTTGAGAGAAAACTAACGTTATGGTTATCATTTAACCGCAACTAAACGTTACTCCATCTCTATGAAACTAAAATAAAGAACAGATACATAAACAATTCTATCAAGAATTCGTTACACCCAGTAAAAAAGACAGCGTGTGAGTGTAGGAACATTTTACTAAGAAATTCAGATTTATAAAATTAAACTTTTAAACCTTTATTTTAACTGTTAATCTAACATAATTAGAACAATAATTTTGGTTTACATCCAGGTCCAATAAATAAACATTCATTAGATCTACTAAGCCGGATATATTGATCGTTATATTAGTCATATTATTCAATATCGTGACGAAAATTCAAATATATAAAATCTTTTATTATAAACACATTTCGTAAAATTCGGTCTGTCACAATCTGCGAATGTGATATAATTAACTGATTCTAATGAGCTTAAACTTAGTAGCATATGTGCAAATGGTTTACAACTACGTGAAAGAGTATAGAAATGAAATACTTGGTTTTTATAAAGGGGTAAAGCTAAAAAAAATATATGTGTGTATATATAATTATTATCGTTACGTTGAATGTAAAAAATATTTGGGACGCATGAGCCTGCGTTATAAAAATACAACGTATCTGTCGCATTTTAAAAATCAATTCATATCAAAGACAGAAACTAACGCCAAAAATTCTCCAAAATGAATTTAAAAAAACTACATTCCTCGCGGCAACATGAAAGAAATTTTGAGACATTCTTCAACAATTTAGATATCCTAAATGTTCGAAAAAATGCTCAAAAAATTAGAAGCAATCATAAAAATAAATTTTCACAACGCAAAATGTTGCAGATAGTTGATATATAAATTTAAATGTACTATTTTCTCTACTGACCATCATGACGATATGATAAAAATACGAACTATTTGTACGCTCAGTAACCATAGGGATGCAATTTTTCATTAACATTAAAATGATAAATAATGAAACATTCTCAGAAACTTGTACAAAATTTGATTAAAACTAAGTTGTAAACTGGTAAATAATGTTAATCGCCTGTCTGCCATCCTTCTGAATTACGATGTCCCACAAGTGAGGTGGTAAATATGCTTTTCTCTGATGGTACCAACTATTTTCGCCATATCATTTACGTAGAATTCAGCAATTTTGATAAGATCACTTAGAGTAGCTACTCTCTGATCAAAACCGCTTTTCCATCCTGTTGTAATAATAAAAATTTACGCTGCAATCTATTCATTTTTTTTCTCATTTCAAATAAATTATGATATAAAGGAGTGTCGCAATAATGACATGAAAAGGACGCACTGGTAAGAAAGGTGTTCCATTGGATGAAAACGCTTTTGATGGAATTGGATTTTGTTTTTATGTGGTCGACTTTTTTTCTGACGTCTGAGGTGATCTGAGGATTCTTTTGCATCATGATGTTCATTTTGTCATATTTGCCATTTAAATGTTCCATCAGCTTGAAAGAAATGAAACATATTATAAATAGTAAGACAGCACAATCAAATAAGTTAATTTATCGAAATATTAAATCTGAAGTAAAAACATCAATTTTTAATTAACAAATTAGGCATGACGATGCAACAAATAACTGACGACCATAACCTCTATCAAGTCCTCCTTTGCTTTCCTCAAAATTTCCAACTGCTTCTGCAGCGTTGTAATGTGCTGCTGGTTGGTGTCAGCTTGCGTTCTTATTTTTGTCATGGACGGACTGAAATTGTATATGTTAGTCTCGTGCTTGCCTATCTCCTCTTTTGAATCTTTAATGGATGACGTGGCCTAATACAAACATTTATAATTATAATTCTTATATTAGAATAATAATAATAATAACAACAACAACAGCAATAATAATAATAATAATAATATGCAAACATCATCAAAGTTAAAACTTCGTAGATAACTGAATAGTGGCGTTACAAAAATGACTGAAAGCCTAACCTAAATCTATACTTTAACATATTCCTTGCCATTTATTGTCACAGTTTTTTGAAATTATTCTGGTACATCATGCAAACAATTGCCAGTTTATTACAACATTATCATGGAGTTGTGGGAACGCAAACAAATGTTGAGAACATGAACGTTCAAACTATTAGAAACTCACAAACGTTTTCATGTTTTTCATTTCAAGCTGTGATGGTTTCTGAGAAATAATACGCCAAAGTTTTAATAGATTAGTTGTTAGTCACACTCTACTAACATGAAACTCCTCAAAAAATGTGAAGCAAATTCTACAAATATCCATTATTTTTTAAACAGTTCACGTTCAAAAGATTGACTCGGTCCTGTGATAAAGTCTGGTGTCTGTTTGTTGGCGAATCCACTATTTCATTTCCTACTTAACAAACTTACCATTTACGACACGCTACAAATATAAAATATACATTCTCTTATAAACGCCTACTCCACAGTATTTTAGAAATACAATAATTATATTAGAAAACTTTTTAAATACAATGGTTATATTAGAGTACTTCTTAAGTACTTCACTTCATTTTAGAATTGAGTAACATTATGTCACATCAGCTCAGCTGAGTTTGCATAAATATTGAAAATGCGCCAGGGACAACAATAAATATACAAGTAGTTGAACAAAACATAATTACAAAAGACATAAGAAGCATAGTACAAAAAATCAAAAGTGTCTAACACTTTTGAATAAAAAATATTTATTGTTAGCGTATTTTATAAAGGTTAAACCTAATACATTATAAAAAAAGGCATCGTTGATACTGAATGCATAAACTTTAAAAAATAAACTTCAGTGTTGAACGATTAAACAGACCGAATTTAGAAGGTTGAGAACTTCATCAAATCTCCTGTGAAGTCTTGGCAGTTCATCGATGATGCGTGCGTGCTTGCCATCTACACTCTTCAACAAATCTTTCACTTTGTTTATACGAATGTTTATGGTTTCTGAACTGTTCCTAATCGTGGAATAAATTAAAATCAACATGATAAGCCAAATGCCAAGGTAGGCATCATCGAAAGGGCATTTAAATTAACATCTTATTAAAAATAGGACCAAAATGAAACAGGATGTAAGAAAATGTTCCTGGCATAAAATGAAAAATAGTTAGAAAAATAATTCAACAGACTTGACTTCAGAAGCCTTCTTTCTGAGATGTCCGACTTCTAAGATGGTGTTCTTTGTCGATGCAACGATGAACTCAGCGTTGGAGATGTTTATTTTTGCTTTCAGAATCAAATCCGTCATTTTCCTTACTTCCACATCTGTGTACGGGATGTCCAGCCGCATTGTCCTCCTCAGTAACTTGGTTGGAATAATTTTAAGCCATCTTAATATTTCGTTAATCACGGATATCATCTCCGATGTTTAAGTATTGGGCGATCCATTCCATGTGAACCAACAACATTTAAGCTTGCTAATTTTCAAAATTTTATCACTTTCTATAGAAAAAACGCACAAAATTGCTTGCAAGTGGTTCATCATCCACTAAATTCAAAACGAGTGGTTTACGCTTGCAATTTAAATTTGTTCAAGGCTATGTGAAAGTAGAGGTTTTTTAAAGAGTTTCATCTTTTTCTTAATTACTTGAATGGTTTTAAAATATGGTGTTATAATTTTGCTGACTTGCTATTTGCGAACATCAATTTGTTATGAATCAGTGCATGCATTGCGAGACTTACTAACATTGGCACAACTAAAATAATGATACTCCCATTGTGCCAAAGTAACGACATTACAGGTGTTATGTTTTAATAATAGTTTCAAATTCTTTAAAACATTGAAAATCTAATTATTTTTTAACACTCTTATGATGTAAATACCAAAAAATGTGGCAGGACAAACACTTTCATTGTAAAAAAATTTGTAAAGGGAAACCAGCTTTTTTATAAGCTTTAAATTCCATACAAACAAGCTAATTGATTTGAAAGTTTTAATAATTTATTGAGAGAAAGACACGAAAAAAGTTTACATTTTCAACTTCCTCAACTTTGGACCCATCCCTCAACAGTTTCTCCATTTCGTCGTACACACTATGGAGGCCATCTGTAATTTAAAAACACTGAAAATATAATTAGGAATGTGAAAAAAACCCAAAATAAATACTGTTAAAATATGAATGATCGTTTAAACAAGCAGCCATGCTATTGTTTCAACAGGATATCATTTAAAACATCTGCCGATGGAAATTCATTCTCGTGGAATCAAAAAATTCAAAAATTAGTCCTGCCAAATGTTCAAAAATTGAAAAGACTAATAGACACTATCTATCACTATCTAGTAAGAAGTGAAGATGGCAATACAACAACAACAACACACGTTTAGACGGCATTTTCCCCGAGATCGGGGGTTGCCGTTTGGCTACCTATGATGAAACCGAAATACCCCTCGACGCCATCCACATCTGTCACTCGCCTCAGTATCACGCAACCCCGCTTTCACCCTGTCCTTCTCCCCCTGCTCTCTCCATCCCAATCGCGGACGACCCCTTCCTACCACTCCTTCAACCTCGAACTCCAACGCTCGCCTAATCCCGACCCTTTCATCCCTTCTCAACACATGTCCATACCACCGCAGGATGGCAATAAAACAAATTATTTATCATTTACCTGTTGTGTGGGCCTTCATTTCTCGAATTTGGATAATTATGCTACTGATGTCTCGGCTGTTCATGTCACACGCGCTCAGTAGTTTCAAAAGCTTTGTAATGTAAGTTTTTAATTCATTAAATTTTTGTAATATTGAATCACAACGCCACAAATGGATATGTTAGCAAGTGTTGTAACCATTAATTATTTACATTGTGGGTCTACTTGAAATTCAACAAAACCTACTTTAAACCAAAATCGCAGTCGTAGTTATTTTGATCTGATATAGTGGCACATGATTGTTACGTATCTAAACATTTAAAAGATCAACGAGATAAGAAAGAACCTCCTCGTTTTCGTTCTCAACATCCTGCTTCTTTCTGTCTAAAATGACTTTGGCTTCGACTGTTTTGTTGAAGGCATTTGAGAATCTGTCGACACAACTTTCGTGGCAGCTTATGCGCCCTCCACAACTGTTGCACCCGGCTCCTCCGCAGACACCACAGTTATCATATTTTGCTCCACACACCTCAGGTAGCAAAGTAACAAATTATTTTTAACTTCTTTTTATTTGTATTTACAAAAAAAAAATAAACAATTTGAATGAGGTTTTGCCGTTAAACATTAAACACTGAGTTATGTGCAATTCATAATTCAAATAATCTAAACTTTATGATCCTTATTTTGTAATTAGTAAAGTCTTTAGTCCGTATTTTGTGACCAGTGGCATCAGGTTTCGAAGGACAAACTCTTTCACACAGATATACACATAGAAACATGGGCACTCACCTTCTGATTTGCATCCCTTATGAAATCAGTGAAGACTTTCAATTCGTGGTGAACGTCGACTGATCCTGAGCCACCACCTCCATGTTCGATTTCGTACCTCTTGCTGTCCAGGATGGACTCTGCCTCGTTCCTCGTCCTCTCAGATGACGACCTGGTGCCGTGGCAGGGCCCAATCACTCGGGACCACGCCTCTTCCGATATTCTGTAACTTTCCTTTATGGAGTTGTAGGCTCCTACACGGTTTAAATCAAAATTGAAAAATTAATAATGGACCAACGTTTCAACGAAATCTCGCATCTCATCAAACAATCAATTGAATTTGTTCATTGATTTACATAAAGTAAAGTAAATCAAGTAAATACAATAAAAGATATTAACATAAAATGCAAAAGAACAGAAGCGACCTTCGACATTGTGCTCGATGATCGATGTTGAATTGCGTATAATTTCATAAGCAAATCGTTCGTATTCGGACAAGGTGAACTTAATGTCACGAAGTCTATTTCTGATTCTCGTTACGTCATCAGTGTTCTGCTTGTTGCTCTGGTCGATGTCACCCATATCATTTCTGTACGCTGCCAGCTTTGATCTGCATGCACATGCGAGGAAATACAAAAAATATAATAATTCAGTTTTGAAACATTAAAATAATTTCAATTCACAGGACTTACTTGATTTCCCAAATAATCTTTAATAGGTTTTTAAACTCATCAGTTGAGGAAGAACTGCCCGAGTCTCGTTCAAAATAGTCAACAATCCCGGCTATCTCGTCCAACTTGACTGTCATTTCTTGAATCTCGCGAAAGAACGTGTTCGAGGATCCTCCTCCATGGTGACCTCGGGATTGCTCTACTAAGGTCAACATGTCAACTGTAGTTTTAGTTGTTTTATTTTAGGATTATTTTTGTTGAAAAATAACGTTGTCAATAGTGACATATAAATGGGCAATTATCTTCAAATCGTCTTTACAATCTAAAAAATGTAGAAAGAGAACGTGAATAAGTTGTAATCAATAGCAAAATCGAGGCACAAATGCACGCCAATATGCACAAACAGCACAATTTTATTTCAAAGAATTCAAAGACGAACTGGTGATATCGCCGATGAGCTTGAGCCATCCATCATAACAAGGACCGCACGGCTTGCAGTGAGGCAGGCTACCTGTAGTGCCTCTTGCACACCTGTCACACAGATGTCCTGTCACTCCTGGATTGCATGTGCATGCACCCGTGTGTCTGTCACATTGCTGACTCACTGAACCTCCAACATCGCACATGCATTCTGTATTTAATAATGTTGGCGTTGTTGATGCTGATTAGTTTAAAATAACTATATTTCATTTTGAAGGCCACTTTAGATATCAACAATTTAAAGTATACAATTCAATAAATGGTGAATAAAAAAAATAAACGAATCAAGCTGACCTTTGCAGGAAGATCTAGGATCGCCCCAGAAGTTCTCAGCACACTGATTGCACTGCCTCCCTCCAAAATCTCTCCGACACTGACACTGACCATCAATCTGCAACACCGAGTTTCACCATCACAAATCCGTCAAAACCAGGAAATATTAAAAACTAAAAAATGAGAAATAAAAAATGCCACAAAATTATTTCAGAGAGCAAACTAATTCAAAAGGTATAGCAACACCACAGTTCAAACAACCAGTAACGTATGCAATAAAATACAAACATCGTTGCATTTTTGAGAGAGTGAGCCATATGGGTCGCAGTTGCACGGTTCACATCCTCTCCCATCGGCCAGTTTCCAAAAGTTCTCCCCACACTGATCACACGATCTACCAAACACATTACTCAAGCAGTGACACTGACCAGTCACTCTATCGCAATCGTTTCTTAGGTGAGCATGAGTTCCAAGAACGTTGCACACACATGCTGGGTACATTTTAAATTTAAAAATAATTATTATCGGCAAAATGAAATAAATAAAAAAATTTGGATGAAGGATATTTATTTTAACACAACCTTTGCAATTTTGACTCAGGGCGTCACCATAATAACCAGCCTTGCATCTCTCGCAGGAACCTCCTTCGGTGTTGTACAAACACTTTGTACACTGGCCTGTATGACTGTCGCAACTGCCTGGTTGCATTAGGAAGGTAATAAAAATGAGCTTTAAGACAAAAAATTCAAGAACATTTTGAAATGATTCAACGTAGCACCACACCACTCCAGTGGTGTGAAATTAATAAAAAACTAATTAACATTTTTTTCACGATTAACAATCGCCAAATATTTTTCTGAATAAACATTAAAATAAAAAATTACAAAAATATTAGGAAAACTCAAAAAAATTGGGCAAAAGTAAAACTCAATGAAAACAAAAGAAAATCATATTATACGACCCAAACTGCATTCAAATTCATTGAAAAGAACAAAAATCGCCACCCAGACAAGCACCTCGTTGAAAGCATGATTAGAAAAAAACCTGGAACGGCGGGATCGATGTTGTTGTTGCACTTGCACATTTGACACGTACCATCGGGATAGGTCGGATCGCCGTAAAAATTTTCAGCACATCTGTCACACCTGGGACCTGTTGAAATCATGTCAAAAAATGATCAATCAAAATGATTATTAATAACCGTTTTAAAAAACAGAAAAAATAAAATGATAGATGAGAAGGAATTGAAATAGTGACCAACCAGTGTATCCGGTTGGACAATCACAGACAACTTGGTTGCTTCGAGGATCCCACCTGCACGAGCCTCCATGTTCGCACGGACATCGTTGACATCCGGTCTTCAGATCACCATAATAACCATCGGCACATCTTTCAATTTGAAAAAAAAAACTTGCACATTCGATGGCGGTTGGTTAACTAAAAATTATTTAACAAAAAAATTAGCTAACAGAACAGCCCGTGTCGCATAATAACCATTATAGCTTGCGTGAAAAATAATGTTCAAGCCGTTCAAAATAAAAATAAATACCCGTCACAATAGGGTCCACCGGAGTTGCTGCGGCATCCAATGCATTTCCCAGTAACCTGATCACATTCATCTGCCCTTCCATTACAAGAACATTTCCTGCAATTTGGAAATCCCCAAAACCCTCGCTGACAACTGGAACATTTCAATCCAAATGAATTGGTGTTGCACGGGCACTGGCCGGTCCGTTGGTCACAAACTGGACTCATTGAACCGTGGCTATGGCAGTCACAGGCTAATTATGGGTCAAAATAAAAAGATACGTTTGTTAAAAAAGTCATGATAAATTAACAAGAGATGCAACAATACTTCTAACCCATGCAGCCTGTGTAAGTGAGTCCGTAAAAGCCTGGAGCACATTTGTCACACCTCCGTCCGATAACATTGGGCTTGCACTTGCACTGTCCGCCAGCAACTTCACACGAAGGACTGAACGATCCATGCAGGTCACAATCACAACCTGGTCGTGATGAACAAGTTGGCGTATGTTAAACAGAAATAAATAATGATTATTGCCAATTAAACTACATTCACTCACTTTTGGCTCCATCGTGGATAGCAACGGAGGAGCTGAAAACGAGTCGTCTACAAATGTCTGACTCTCTGAACTGTCGCACAGGTGAATAATACGTTTCCATGCATCTTTGTCGTTTGAACTGCTCGTAGACTTCTGGTTTCTGGTTCAAGGGATGACCAGTGGATCCTGGAAGAAGGACAAGCTGAAAGAATAGTTCAGACATTTACTCATTATAGAATTTGTTTTAAATCAAACTGATAACAACTTGAACAAATTTTTAAAATATAGCAAAAACATTTAATTAATTTACTAAGAATAAATTTTGCCAAAAGTTAGTATATGTGGATACATAAATTAGCAAAACTTCAAACTTATAAAATTAAATAAAGGCGTTTTCATCAAGGAAGTTAACAAGCAACTCACAGAGTCAATAAAAATATGAGATTCTTTTCCGTCAAGTGCATAACGCTGAGCAGGGAACTTGAATGTAATTGTGTATCTGACTCCCTTTTCCAAACATGTGCCGGGCCGCACGAACGAATGTGTCGTGTCTGGATGAAAAATAATGCAGACGGTTCACATTTTTGATAGTCTAACAAATTTGATATTATATTTAAGAAATGTGTCGTGAAACAATTTCTTACACAATAATGAATCAATTTGCGTAGAAATTGATAGAAAAAAAAGTAGTAAAATCAATTATGACTAAGGTTAAAACTAGCAATGCTAACCTGGCTGTATTGTAAAAACTTTATTGTAATCCTGTGGAGTAGTGTTTGCACAACCACTTCTTTCATTGGCCCTTCCAGACCTTTCTATGGTCATTTTCAATCCCTCCCAGGGGTGGAGCACCTGCTGCGGTCAAGTTGTGATGTGCTGATGTTAGTTTCATTTTATGCATCATCTCAATAAAAATTTCATAGCGCACAAGTTTCGAAAAACTTCAGTTGCACACACAACATCCAAACTTTGCTTATTTCCTCATAACTGATCCACTCATGAACTCTTTTCAGAATTTGCTCCTTTCACCAAGCTCGTTCACCTCACTCGCAATCAACTCGTGTCTCACTTTTGCAACACATACAACTTCTCACACACGCAATCCCCAAGCAATCTTTAAACTTTTCGATTAATCTAAATTTGCATTGCTAATATTGATATTAGGCGTGTTATAAACAAGCAGATACCATTAAAAAAATAAAATATTTATTATCCAAGAAATATTTTGAAACACTGCCAACAGACCTTGGAATCATGCCTGAGCAGAAAGTCGTACTCCATAGAATGTGGTATGTTATCGACAACGAAGGTTAAAGAGGAGCCGCCCATGACCTTCGTGTAACCCACTCCTGTCCAAGTCACATAACCGCCTCCAGACAGGCGGTCCTTGTATATAACTTGAGCCTTCTGCTCAAGTGACAATCAATTTTAAATTTAAATGTTTTAGTTGACGTTTAAATATTATCGTGAACTAAACGTTGTTAAGAATGAATGCACTTTTTAAATTAAATATTTAAGGCACAAAAAACGATGTAGAAATTCATTTGGAAAACTTGAGAAATATTGTATTGAACTGATTATTCTTTAAATTCATTAGGGATACTATCAAAAAAATATAAACAAACTCAATAATGTATGTACATTATGTCGGTATATGTGTTGTATAAACACACACAAATACGTAGTGTTATTTATATTAAATCCTATCTTGCGTGTGTGCATGTACATGAAATGATTTAATTAGCTTAATTAGCACTTTTAATATTATTACAATTACAATTTAGAACCAAAAAAAAGGTTGGACTGAATCGTTTTTCTAATGTATATAAAAAAGAATTAAATTAAAAAACAAACTACAAAAGAAACAGAAAATATCGTGGTTGAAATATATTTAACATTTATCAAATGAAATGTGCATGGTGCAAAAGACAGCACTGACTCCACGCTCTGATGCCTCCTCCGCCTCATAGAGCAGCCAGTCAAGGAAGGCATAGTAGTGGTCCCTAGCCACATGATTGCAATGCTGTCCTATGATGTTCGGTCTGCACCGACACTGACCTGAAAATTTCATCACAAATTATTTTCCAGCTTTGCCGATAGATGTCCTAATTTATCGAATGAACATCTCATCAGGAAATACTGAAAACTAAATTGAACTGACAATAAAATATTTGGTCGTAGTGATCGGCAGTATCAAAGAACATTGCGATTGTACATACCTGAAACACAAATGTAGCACAGCTTCAACCAGAGTGAAAACGAAATTATTAGTTTTCAAATAAAAAAGCAATAATTGTTCAGGACTAGTTCAACGCTTTTCAATGATTGGAAATTTTTTCAAATACTTATTTAAGCTCAAAGCTCAATTTAAAACAAACACGTATTAAAACAGCCTCTGATAAAATAAATTTATGGTTAAAACACGCTATTTTTTGGCAAAAACTATTACAGTTTTTGATTCTAGAAATATTATATTAAAATAATTTATTAGGTTATAATTTATTTATTATTAGTAATGCTCATTTATTAAAAAGTAATCCTTGACGATAACACAAAAAATTCATTGTAAGTCCTAGTCACACACCGATGTATTCTAAGTTTTGGTGTTCACATGATGTAGAATCAAATGAATATGTTTAATTTCTAAATTCAGATTGGGGGCAGAGTTGTTTTTGTAGCTTTTGTAGCTAGAGATGACATTTTATTGTTTGAAAATTTTTGAATTTTAGTTTGTCGTCTGCGTCTAAAGTATTTGATGATTTTTAACAATTCTATTCATCGTCTGTTTTATACGCAGAAAACCAAGTGTTTCGTAACATACTATTAATTAGTTGAATGTCGTCGGATTCGTTGATATTGTTGTTTGTGTTAGAAGGTGCTTCTAACAAAACTACAATAGAGACTCCTACAAAGAATATTATTTATTAATATCCTGAGATCATTTTTACAGTTTGACTTCAACACAAACAATATGTAAGTTTTTTTGATTCTACGACTGACCACACCAATAAAGCCATGTTGCGTCTACCTCTTATTTCTGCATCTTGTCTTCCAGTACTGACTTTGCACCACCAAGATAATAATTCGGCTTCTATTCATTTGGGTTTATCACTAATTTTAAGGTCTCGATTTCATGTTTGAAATCCCTCCTCATACACTTTCAAGAGCAATTTAACAACTGAAGTAGGAAAAGAATCACAATCTACTTGAGGCTGCCGTAGCTACGCATAACAGACTGAAAGAGGTCTGATGTCGATAACATTTTAAAGATTTTCAATAATTGTGAAACGTCTTTCGCAAATATTCACTTTTCAGATGTTCCAATTACATCACATTACAATTAATATATATGTTACCAATCTCAAATGGAAAACAAATCCCAACAGTTTCTGCTTCCCACTAAAAAATATTTTTTCTTATAATTACGCAATATTTATGAACCTGCATATAAAAACATGCAATGAACAATAATCAAATTTAGCCTTACAAAAAGTAGCAAAGTTATCTGAAAATTTTCCATTGGCAATTACATGCAGAAAATAGTGAAAAGTTTGAAACCTGTACGTGCGTTACACTGGCTGTCGTAGGCACCTCCGATGTCACAATTGCAAGCCGTGCATCCCTCCTCATCTCGGCCAAAGTTCCAATAACCTGGCTGCAAGTTTTGGTCGTTTATAACAAACTTTTAATGAAGCATTTTCTGTGAACATTTAGTTTTCCAATGAAAGAGCAAACGAAAACGTTTAAAAAGAAGAAAATTAAATAAATGAGAATAAAAAGAATTGAAATAGGCATTAATAAACATTCTGGTATGAATTTGAAAAACAATTCAAAGGAACTCAGGCTGATGGTGTTCATTACTTTACATATAAATACTAACGTCATCATAATTATTATAATTATTATTGTAGTCTATCAAACAATTCACTAGGCCATAATTTATTTGGCAGGTGAATAGTATAAAGATTACGCAAGTAAACATTAAATCACTCTTCCTAGTAATCACTGCCATTACTGCCAAATCGTTACTGAAATTTATATTACTGGGGAGATGATTCCATTCCAGAAAATATAAATAATAATAATAATAATAATAATAATAATAATAATAATAATAATAATAATAATATAGTACTAATGATAAATATATGGATGATAATTATCAGTAGTAACAGCAGTAGAAACAGATAGTGTATGTAATAACGCCTAACTATCAATTCCGTCTGAAGAAAAACAATATATATATATATATATATATATATATATATATATATATATATATATATACTTAAACATGTTTAAATATATAAATGTGTATACATACGCATACACATGTATATACAAATATATAATTATATATATATATATATATCATATATATATATATATATGTATGTATGAATATATATATATATATATATATATATATATATATATATATACAACCTACACATGCATTTCAACTGAATGAGGTAGATAGCAAGAGAGTACTCTTTGAAAATTACAACAAACATCCGTTGTATTTACGAGTATGACTGGAAAAGATATGCATTCATCTCCGTGTAAGTAAGTGCTTCTAATGCATGCATCATCCGATAATTGCACAACTATGATATTTATTTCTTCGCCGGTTGCTGTGCACGTTGTTTCAACGTATTTGATGAATGAATAAATGAATAATGAACCATTCCTGGCGGCAGAATGTGGAAAGATGGTGCGGATAGTGACGCAGACAATGTTCGCCGGAATTATGCAAGGCCATTTCCACGAACATGTTAATACATTTGTGTTATTTTATTTAGTCACAACTAGTTAGTTAATCCATTATAAACCTTTCAACAAATGCATTAAAAGCATCTTGAATATTATAAACTATCTACAATGTAATAGGCATATAAATAATAATCAAAAGAATAAAAAAATACGCTCATATTTTCCGAGCATGTGTGGTCTGTGGATGTTGTTGCTGCTGCTGTTGTTGTTGTTGTTGGAGAGCAGCATCATATGAGAATGTAAAACGAGTGCATAAACATTTCTTAGATCAAGATAAGTCATTCAATAAACCACACACTTTATTACAATACTTGATTTACAATTGAATACGTTATACGATGCTAGTAATGTTATATATGTATATACAACTAAAAATGGTTATGTTCTTTGCGCCAAATTATGTGTTGATATTTGAATTGTTCCAATCTCCAGCACCAACGTGGCAATACTATCAATAACAACAGGAAATGTGGCGAGAACATCGATAAAATAAGACAAATTAACGGCAAAAAAGAGAAATTATGAAAATAGCATCAATATTAAAAAAAAAAATATAAACGCTATTTCACGTAGAAACCAGTTCTAAATTTGTAACCTGATAACTCTAAACTAATTATGTTGAAGTTTATGTAAGTGGGAGCTCTAACAATGGCACCAGAAGTCTAACATGTGATGGAAAATTGTGTGTTGTATGCGAGTAAATAGATGAACTTGAAAGAAATGTGTATGTAGTTGAAGATATGAAGATGCAGGTTTAAAACAAACATGAAAAACCTACATAACCATGAGTCACTGAGGAATCCAGCTCTCAAAATAGCGGATAAAATGATAAGAATACGACATGAACAAAATGACAGGTGGATATGTACAGATAGAAAACGAACCAGACAAGAATCACACGTCCTTCCAGTGACGAACCTCTTGCACCTACATTCACCAGCTTGGTACTCACACTGATGACCTGCCACTGTTCCGTATGCATTGCAGGCACATGCTGTTGTTCCAGTCGTTATTTTATAAAGTAATTAATACATTTCATAGTGCAGTTGATGATTTTACATTTTAATTTGTTGCATTCGCTGAAAAAATTTCACATTTTCAAATAATTTACATTTTCAAATGAAACTATGACAATAAAATGAATCGCCCCTCTGCACACTCATCAACGACCCATATTATAAACTAATGTTTCCACTCCACGCACGTCAACAACCTACGTTCACATCCGTGTGGATTGCGTTCGTCAAGATTCCAGTAGCCGGGCAGGCAAGTGTCACATCTGTGTCCGGTGACGAACTTCTTGCAATTGCATCTTCCTGCTTCGATGCCGAGCTCTGCATCGCCTGTGCTCTCACAACCTCCCAGAACTTCTGAACCACGAGGATCGCAATCGCAATCTGCAGTGGTAGGTGATGTCAAGAAGACGATGACAGTAGTGATAGGTTGTTGGTTACAGTGCATCCAAACAAATACACATATGCAAATACACAAATTTCAGCGTTGTCTATAGAAATTAATTTAATTTGAAAATGTAAACAATTTGTAAATATCAGTCAAAAAAACAACAAACAAACAATGAACAGAACATAAACAAAACGTGAGCAAAACATGAAAAGAATATGAACAAAACATGAAGAGAACATACGTATGCAAGCATCAGGATGATTAATTGAGACTCTTGGATTTCTGAAACAAACATCAAAGAAAGCATCAATTTATTTGTTTGAGTGAAGTTCACAGTAATTAACGTGTTTACTATCAACAATAAAAAATATCATAATAAAAATTCATAACGTGGTGGGGCAAGCATACTAGCTCATGAAAAATTGGTTTACCAAAACAGGTTTAAAAAACGATGATAACAATGATCAATCAGTAATAACTTCGATGTTTTTGAAATTCAAGAGTGTCGCTAACCTGTAATAATTAGCCTTGCATATTTCACAGTTCTGTCCCATGGTGTTGTGCTGGCAATCATCACAAACTCCACCACTTTTGTTGTGGCTGAGGATAAAGATTGCAGGGTCGAAGTGGCACTTGTTGGAATGGTTGTGGCACTCACATCCTAGATAACATTGCAATAATTAATTACATTTTGTTGGGTGATGACTGACTGACGTAAGTGAGTAGTAGCAGATACAAACAATCATTATAGTTTAGCATGAATTGTGTGATACAGGAATATATAAAATGAATGCAAAATGTAATGTTGAAAAATTAACAGTTCATTTATGCTCAGTTAGTGATTGAACAAGCATCAAAATACAATTGAAGCACAACATTTCTTTATGAACAGTGTGATTAAGCTTGCATTAGGGATTAAATTGCCACTAAAAAATTCCACAGAAAAGAGCAATGAAAATAAAATAACACTAAGTGAATGTGACTCGCCATACTTTTGCATTCATTGAGATTATCACTGCTCCTTGGCCTCCAAGGTAGATCCTGATAAAAATCTTCACATCTCTCACAGTTGTAACCTATTAAGTTGGTTCATTAATTTAATCAGAGTTATGCAGCGCAAACATGCAGCTATGTGTGTTCCAGAGAATAGCATCGAAGGTTAATGTAGGCTGAGATTAATTAAATGTTAGCTACCAAGAACAATTTATTTAAGGAAATTAAAATAATGATCCTGCATGCATGTGCATATAGTATGTATGCATACGCATCTATTCAATTCATACACATTTGTGTTATTTGAAATCTTTTACTATTGTGCTATGTCTAAATGTTTAATGCACACGGAATTTTTAAAAATTTCCAGAAAACTCATTTAGAGTAGTTTAAAAGTTTTGTTATTGAATATGTTCAAGAAGAAATGGTTCATTAGAAGAAGAAGAACAAGCAAGTGCCTAAGGAATAAAACAGAGATACACTTTAATGGCAGATGTTTTCAGACAATTGCTCGCTTAAAATAAGCATCCACTTAACATAAAATAACAATAATATGATAATAATATAATATATTATTGAAAAATACATAATGATACAAAAAAAATGCATCAAAATTTTTCTAACAGGATAATAACAAAGATAACGTCTATTAATAGAGAAAAATGAAAAAGCAGAAAACGTAGAACAAACCGGTGGTGTGGTGTGTGCACTCACACTGTCCATAGACCTGCAGTAGTATTGCAGTGTTAGTAGGTTCAATCATATTTTTGTAACAAGCAGATATGAAATCATAAAAAATTCAAATTAATGATCAAAAATTATAAAGAAACAACGTCAAAAAAGAGACAATGAGGAAAATTAGTTACAAAAAGCATTCAGCATTACAAGAAACAGGATAAATGAATGATTTGTTTTCTACGCAATCCATTCAAATTACATCAAACCATTCCACAATTTTACAAATGCAATTTAGTCAAAGTATTTAGCTTAAAACCACATCTTATTTTAATATTCAGAACTGATTATTTATGCAACAAAAAATAGAAGATTAAAAAAAATAGATGAATAAATTTTGAAATTGATATTATTAATGAGAAATTTTTTAGACATATTTAAAATGAAACATTAGATAAATAGAATTAGGTTATGGCAAAATAAAAAGAGGCAGAATGTGAAAAATAAAGATAAACTGAGAAAGAAATAATGCAGCTTGTGTTCTTCCTGCTTGCTACAAACATTAAACATCAAACTTTGAATGAAACATTTCAAATGATTTTCAATGCTATCAAGCTTTGAGACATGTTCCAGAACCAAAAGTTTCACAAAAATAAGCAATAAAAATATATAGAATTCAAAAAAAATATTCAGATCACTTATTATTATATTTCAAATATCATTCTTTTACTCTCTAGATAAGCAACAAAATATGTATCAGCACTTACAGGCAAATCTTTTGCCAAATTAAATGGAAAAAACCGTATTTTTTAAAAATTCAACTTATTTTGCCTGTTTAAAAATCTTCAGGCAGTTTAAAATTTTACAGAATCAATTATTAATAAAAACAAAAAGTAATAAATCATAAATACGTTTTACAAAAAACAGTAACATTAATGTAAGGCGAATTGATGCATTGTATAATAACATTAACGTTACGCTAATAAATGCAACGTATAGAAAGGCTTTAGAAATAAAATGTGCAGTCATTGAACACCTTGATCAGGCACGGTCAAACAAACGTAGAGATAAAAAGATAGTTAACCATTTTAACGTTTTAACTGGATATAAAAATTTAGAATTGCAGGTTATTCTAGATAAATAACCACTGTTAAAAATAGGAAATAATTTTATGTTGAGGTTTTAACTCATTACAGTAACATTTCTAGATTATTCTAGATAAATAACCACTGTTAAAAATAGGAAATAATTTTATGCTGAGGTTTTAACTCATTACAATAACATTTCAATTTGCAAACAAAGTTTTATCAAATCATTCCAATCATTCAAACAAAAAATGGTTTGTCAAACTGTAATAATATTTCACTGTCCACTAGATACAAATATGGCATAAGCTGCCACTGGTCAAGTCAGTTTATTTAATAATATAATATCTTCGATTAAATTCTAGATTTAAAAACATCGAATGACCAATGATAGCTTTGATCACAAGCGAACTGATGAAATTTACATTGCCAGAATTTACAAATAGTAATGGTCTGTGAGAGACAAAATGAGAACGTTCACATACACGACAACATTTTTGCAAAATGTAGTAACAACTTGATTCCTACAGATCATAATAAAGTTATATTATATGCAACAGATGCAAACAACAATCAATCACAATATAGCTTTCTTTGCGAGCAAGCGAGTTGGGGCAAAATGATGGCTGTTATGACCATGCATACATACATGCATACATACATTTGTTATTTGATGTTTGACCGTTCAGTGTCATTCATCATATTTTGGTTTTAACATACATACATACATACATATAGCTTTTAAATAAATTCCAAAATAAAAACTAAACAAAATAAATTATCAACAACAAAAACAACAACAAAATAAAACAGCAACAACAGAAACAAGTTCATGGGAAAATGTAAATGCAAAATGCAAACATCAATACACTATTATCAATTAAGTTGTAGCATAATACAATGTGAATAAGCTGCGAATTGAATGAGAAAATTATATGGAAATGTGTGTGTAGGTAAGTTTTCAATAAGTGCATGTGGTGTCTAGTTGAAGCATTTGTTTGGGAATATAAAATTCAAATAAATAAGTAAATAAATAAATAATAGCACCTAAAAAAGTAAAAAAATTACCAAAAAAATATAAATTTATAATAATATGACGTTATTTTGAATAAATAAAACAAATTTAGTGAAAACAAATGTGAGAACATACGGCATCGGTGATATTCTTTTGCCAAGGGAGAGGTATGCACTTGTTGGAGTGACCATAGCATGAGCACCTGCCCCTCACGACCATGTTGTATATGGTGTAATAATAATTTCGTTTGGCATCCAAGGAAAGGTACTGATCACCTGTCGAACAGTTGACCACGTTAATACAATCCACATGATTAGGGCTTTTAATGATTGCTTTATCAACCGGAGTGTTTTGCCTCGCAAACAAATTTTAATTGTTTAAACAGATTAACCAAGTGAAATAACTGAAGTTTATTTCTTGATGAAAAGTAATTAAGAAGCGTATTTTAACTATGAGAAACGTCAAATGGAAGATTATTTTGCATAGACAAAAGTTTTTGCAAGATTATAAAAAAAATATTTTTTAACTTTCAACTATACAAATGCAAAACCACAAACGAAAAGACACAGTGCCTACCCAACATGTGAAGTCTTGTGAAATTAATCCTGATGTTCGTCATCCTGAGAATATCCAAAATCTCCTCTCTGTACGGGTTGGGATCTTTGAAATCGGGAGGCAAAATTGTCAACAACACCTACAAATATAAAAAATCATCTTGCTGGTGTTTCAAGTTCAAAACCTAAAATCATTGTTAATACAAAAAAAACTTTTGAAAATATCAATAACAGATATATATGTATGTATGTATGATATATTAAATTGTAAGTTAAGTAGAAATTTGGTATGTAAATTCTAAATTATAATTGGTGCTACATAAATGTTGACAACAATAATAATGATAATGTACATTTTCCAGCTATGATTGACTGAGTGATACATTTTATGCAAATAGATTGTGTCAATTTTATTGCTAATTTTTTCATCTCATTTTGTATTTTCAGCACAAAAATATAAACTAGGAGTGATCAGATGGCAAGTAGGTTAGTCTTTAGATTGCATAAAATGTATGAGTGTGGTAATGTATCATTTTATGTAAGTTTATACATGTATGTGTACATGCAATCATCCATGCATGTTTGTGTGTTAAGTATGTGACAGATATGTGATAGATAACATATGTTTGGAAGTAAACATCAATATTTATTGTATGCAGGAATGTATATAAATATGCAAAAATGTATGCATACATACATATATATATACATATATATATACATATATATATATATATATATATATATATATATATATATATATATATATATATATGCATGTGTAATTTTATGCTGTTTTTAATTTCAGTCTAGAAATTATATTGAAATGTATGAAAAACTAAAAACCACTTATTGTGTATTAAAATTTGAAAAACATATTTTGAAAACAGTTTCTGAAAAAATTTTAGACACAAATAAATAAACTTCATATTAATAAAAAAAAATTATTTTTCAAAATTGCTGTAAGTGGAAATTTGTTATCACCCAGTATTAGTTCATAATAATTTACTTAATTGTCATAAAAAGGTAACAGATAAGTGAATATCCTGTTGCATTGAAACAATTCAACTATCACTACATAGAAAAATTAAATAATGATCACAAACAAAAAAATATTTAACAAAATATACTGGCAAATAAATAATTCTTTGAAAATATATCAAACTGATTATGAGATTATAGTAATGCAGTAATAGGCAAATGTGGTTTTCAAACATGTACAGTAAATATTCATCTGTAACCTCTCTGTTTAGCTTATTTGGAGATTCTGAGAACTCATTCGTGCAGTAAGGAACTCTGAAGTCACTTGAATATGTAGGGACTCTTGGAAAATCTCTCTCACAATCTTCAGAAAAATATCTGTTTTAACAATATCATGTTAAATTTTCAAACTAAATTTCTGCTTCTTTTTTATATTTTTATCATATTCAAAGAAGACATTTTTTAAATTTATAACTAAATCTTGTCTTTTCAGAATGATTAAGATTTAAATAAAACGATAAATAATTATGTCATGGAAGAACAACATGATCCAATTACTCAGAAATTTAAATTTATTCAGATATAAAATGTGTTGGTGAAGGTTAGAGTTTATAAATAAAAACAACTAATCAACCTGTCAACTCTCCAGGTCCGTCCAAAATTATTTGACCTTTCAACAAGCATAGCTGCAGGGAGCAGGGTTTTACATTGAAAATGCAGATACAAAAAATGAAATTCAGCTTCAAGATCGAACTGAACATAAACACTGTGCTCTCCATACTTTGATTGCCACCATTTATTTTTATCCAACTCTTTGGTCTGGAGAACATTTTCTATTAAATGACTTTTCTTGTTATCAACACTGTAGGGTTGTCTGGAATCACATATGAAGCAGTTTTTGAAAGTCCTAGCTTTTTGGTTATTTGGTTTATCTTTATCGAGATGACTTACTACACAGTACCTGCAATGATCAAGTTGAAAACAGTGAACAGTCAGCATTTGAAAGTTAATTCAATAAAATACAATACAGTGTTTACACAAAAACAACCAACTTTTCTTGCCCTTTAGTTCCACAGGTAGAACTTGCCGTGAGATTTTTCTCTCTACCAATCAGTAAGTTGCCATAACTTGGTTCACAAACACTCTCTCCGCAACTTCCAAGTGAATATTCAGTTACTATTTCTACATCTGTGTCTCCTTTATATTATAAAGTGATGTTTTATTTGATGTTTTTGAAACAATTTAGATTTTTTTTAAATTAAGAATATTGGCCAGTTTCAGCTTTTTGTAATATAATCAAAATTTAAAATTACTCTGCAAAGTGCAAAAACTCATTAATTATTGTTAAATTTTTATTTTTTATTCAATTATAAATAATAAAATGAAATAGTCACAAATGGGTTTATGAATTTTAAATTTAAACTTATTGCTTTAAAAACAACGAACAAACGCCAAATGGGACCCAGAGAAAAAAGTACACAAAAAACTTGATTATAAAATTAAAAACTCAAACTGCAACGGTAAAAAAAGAATTGTGGTTCAAAACTTTTGAAATAATTTGCCAACTAATTGGAATTTAATTTGCTAATGACTGTAGAAATATGATATAAAGTATTTAATTTTTTTCTTTTTCTTATAATAAAATCAAAATTGAAAAAATTACGCCGATAGCGATATTTGGTTAAAAACAATTGAACAACGAAATTGAATTAATCACACAAAAATAACTTACAATACATAGGTACATGTACACATACAATGGCTTCTTACTGAATACCAGATTTTAATTTACGTTTTGTTAATGTAATTAATTCATATTTGATCGATGTTAGTGCATCGTAACTTACAGACGTTTAATTACTGTGCACGCTTAATTTACGTTATAACCTTAAATTACATTATAATGCATTACATTACATTACAGATTACATGACGGTTACAATGTATGAAATACAGAACAGTATTTCAAAATAAAAAAAAGAAAGTGATTCATTCATCATCAGATCAGATCATAGTTATAGATATTGATGTTTACTAACTTTTTTTTGCAGACCAAACTCCAGCCACGAACAATAAAATGATTAATCCACGGTTATCCATTAGTTATGAATTTGGAATAATTTTATTATTTTAATAATTATAGCAAAACTATTTATCTCTTAATCATGATAATGAAATAAAAATTGAATAGACTGAATAGTTAAATAAAATAAAAATAATAAAAAATAAATTTATTAGAAATTAAACATAAAGTCCAAAATCCTGGAAGCAAACAGTATACTATACAAAAGTTTCTTGTACAAATGTTTTTCTGCGGTTAGTTTCTATACTAACATGTATACGTAAGGAGATACAGATAGAAATATAGTGTGTGCACAACAGACTCCTTCCTAGCTACCATTCCATTGGGAGCATCATCAAAGCTACTACACAACGCATTCAACAGAAACTTTTGTTATAATATAATGCATGCGCTCATTAAATGAGAAGAATATTTACAACTGCTGTTTATTCATTTATATGAAACTACCATATACCTTCGCCAATATATATGTATTGAACGTGTAATTTTAATATAATATATATATATATATAGTTATAGATGTTATATATGTAAAAGTTTGGACGTATATTTTAATACATTTATACTTACATTCGATTCAAACAGACACAAAACCACACACACTCACACACGCGCACTCTTATATATAAATTTATTTATATAGACATTCCTGATCATTCATGCACAATTATCAATATAATAATTAAACGGCAAAAAGAGGCACAGCACACACCTCCTGACCTGGAAACTAAATAAAAATATTTCGAATGTTTTAAATTATAATGGCTTCTTTAATATTGTTAATTATTCAGTGTATCTATCCATTAATTAAAATTTCATAAAAGTTGAAATCTAATGGTTCATAACTTGTATTGTTTTGGTAAAATTACTGAGCACGATTTTATTTTTAAAATATTTTTATCTAAACACGAAACAGACCTTTTTTGATAAAAATTTTATTGAAAAAAATGTATTTTACTTCACGCCAGTTTTATGTGCAAGAACCGAACTAACGATATACTCATTGAATAATAATGTTTAACTTTTTTTTTGTTTAAGACTACCAAATATATATTTTATATCATAAGGAATGCAGACGTCTTCGGTTTTATTCGTTATACATTAGCGTCTTCAATTAAATTTATTCTGTGGTTTAAATTTAAACATTTTACTTGTTTTAATCCTCCCTGCTATTTCAAATGTAGAATTATAAACAGTTCCTTGTCAGTAAATATACCAAAAGATAGTCAGAGTCAATATTTTCTCTTTCGATGCTGGTACCTTGTCATGAAATGCTGATGTAGGCATATGAAGGATGTAATCATGGCAATAAATGTCATAATGCGACTCAACTTTTTACTTTATATTTTATTTTCTTGAAACCGTTGATTTGAATAGGAAATTTACTCGTTAATCTATGCACCATACGTATGATGCATATGATGCATTTGCATATGAACGCCTGTTGAGCACCAGACTCTATCTGAGTTATTCTGAGTCTGGTTTTATGATTAACGAAAAAATAAAATCATTCACAGGTAAATTTTCTCGGTCCTTGAAAGTAAATATAATTTCATTGGTCTATATGCTATTTGACTATAATTACCTGTAATGCACATATAGTGCATTACCTAAGTAATGCACATATAGCCTGTATAATTGTATACTATATGTGTATAAAACTTCTATTACAACAAGTTATTTCCTATCATTTAATGTTCGCGTTGCGTATTTACATCAGTCATATTGTTCTTGTCGTTTCATTGACGTCATGATTTACCTAATTAGCTTCACCGTTAACTGGTATTAAATGATTGATGTTTGTGACCTTCATTCTGTTTCTTTTTCTCTCGCAACCTCTATCTTCTTCTCATTATCTTCTCATTATCTCTTATCATCATCAGATAATCATATTCATTATCATTATCTCATTCCTGAAGATATCGTTTGTTTTTTTCTTACTTGTTTGCATTGAGCCAACTTTTTAAGATTTGTTTAGAATTCTTTATTAATAATTAATTAATTTATTGCACTTAAACAATTATAATTACAATATAATATACATTATAAATCTTCTTTATCGTGCCTTATTCTTTCAGGATTTGGCGACCATCTTCTTCTTTCTTCTTTACCTTATCGTACCTTATCCTTTCAGGACATTGCCGACCATCGACCTCCAAAAAACCCAATCTTTTATTTTTTGTAAGAGTTGAAATGAGGTTGCGAGAGAAAAAGAAACAGAGTGAGGGTCACAAACACCAATTCAACAAGTGACTCAAGGACTTCACGAATGTTATTCGTTGTTGACCGCGATCTCTTTTCCCTGCAATCTTTCCATCGACCTCTACAAAGCCCGATCTTTAACAATTTGTAATAGTTGAAATTTGGCACTACTTGTTGAATATCACTTGATATTCCGAGATAATTGAATTATTATAATACAATATAAATTATACAATTTATCTTTTTTTCGAAAGCTAAAAACCTGTGTGCCCACATATTTAGAATTATTTGTGACTAATTAACGAAGAAGTATCAACATACGAACTAGTAAACTATGGTAACAGTAATTTAAATGATATGAAGAAACTTTTTACAATTTATTAATTCGAATGATTTGTAGTTTTTGGTTAAGCTGGTCGAATGTAAACATAAAAATTGTTGTAGACGAAACGTGATAGTCTTTCTCGTGTCTTTATTCTTGTCTTGTTTTGCTGACTAAAAATTAAAATGGCTTGCACGCCTAGTTTGATGAGCTTTGCAACGTTCTGTTCCGGTCTTTTAATTTGCTTAATTGATCTTTCAAGTGACAGTGACCAGTTTATCTACATTAGCTTTTTATATGTTTTAATATTTTGCTCCATTATAAAGTTCTTTTTTAACTCCACAAACTTTCAGGTGATTTTTTTTTAAATTTAAATGTAAAAATTTCAAATTAACATGTCAAATTAAAATTAAATTAATGTTAAATTTATAAATTTGTATTATTATCATTACACATTACATTTGAGAATAGAGAAGTATTATATTATAATAGGTTAGGTTATTGTTATAGGTTATTATATATAATAACCTATAACGATATTATAAATTATAGGTTGAATAATTTTTTAAATTTAATTTATTAATTATTTTAAATTAAAATGAAATTTTTTAATCAGAATCATTTGTTTATAAGGCTTTCCAATCATTTTGTTTCTGTGTTAAAAAGTGAATAAAGTTTTAAGATTAATAAGAAACAAGTTTTCAATTTTTAATTTGTGTTTTGTGTTCGGTTCAAAAATGTTATTTTAATGCTTTTTAAAGTTTAAACTTTAAAGTTTAAAACTAGTTTAAGCTTTAAGGTTTATTTTAATTTTAACTTAATTCAATCTTAATAAAATCAATAACATAACCAATATCATTTAATTATTTTTTGATCAATCACAGATTAAAAATGTTTTAGTAGAATATCATTTATCTATAATTTTATTTTTATATAACGTGTGAATTTTAAATTTTAATATTGAATGACAATTTGAAATTTTATCTGGTTGGCACATTTAAAAAGGGTTTGTATAGCCATATCCACATTATATGAATGCATATGCATTATTATAAGAATGTCACATACTAAAATGTAAAATCTCTTTAAAAATTGTTTATAAGAATTTCATAGAAAATTTATAAATTATAAATTTACAGCTCTCAAATGCATTGCATTGTATTAAATATGTTTTTCTATTTTTATGATAATATAATAAACTTCTTACTTAATGTCTTAATCTAATGAAATCAGTTTAATAAGCACTTGTTTCTTATTTTAAGTGATATAATTTAGATGTAATTGTAATTATTTATATTTGTGTGCATAGATTTCCTTGAGAAGTTATATGTTGGGGTCAGCATTCAGCTATGGAATCATGTTAGCTTTCTCTGATATGAGCTTACGATTGTGTGGTTGGTACATTGCTGCTTTAGCTTTCTTCCATTGGTCAGAATATTTTGCCACAAGTATAACAAATCCACAGAACCTTAATTTAGATTCATTCCTTTTGAACCACAGTCGGGAGTACCATTTAGCAGTTGTGGCTAGTTTCATTGAATATGTTCTAGAATGGATGGTCATACCATGTCAGTTCATTTCATACTAATTTTAAAAAATTGGAGATCTGTCCTGGGTTTTCATGTATGTGTCCAAATGAACATTTACATAAAAGTTTTTTTCGTCGTAAAGTTACTTTTTTAACCATATAAAATTGAGAGTTTGGTTACCAAATGGTTATATACCCAGAGCAAATCTCCAGTTTAACTTCATTATTTAACATTTAAATATTTAAATTGAAATTGAAATGCAAAACTGATTATATTGCTGATATTTAAACAATTTTGGTTTACTTCATTACTTTTTTTTACGTTTATTTGAAAGAAAAAAATATTATTTTCAAAAATGCTTTTCAATTTTTCCGTTAAACGATTTTAGTGGGCATGAATGTTGTTGATTTTTTAATATTATGTTTTATTCCTCTACATTATGTCAAGGCCTTTCCTTTTTTTTCCAATTTGATACTAAAAATTCTTCTTTCTTGAAAATGGTTTCAAAACATTTTCAACCATGCTGGCATAATAAAATTGAATCTTCATGCTTTGCAGTTGCAGCCTTATTAGAATACATTTGAAAGTTGTATAACTTCTAATTTTTTAATTAGTTATCCAAACTTATTAATGTTGCCATTATTCTATAATCAGGCAACTTATTTATATTTCAATTCTTTATTCAAACTACTAGATAAGTTCAGACAAATGCTGTTTTCAAAAGTTTGAAAATGTTGTCAAAAACAACATTTGATATTAATTTTTAATTTGAAGAATCAAGAGTAGGATTCATTTAAATGATTTTCAATGTCTATAGTTTTGTTTGTTCATTTTGGAAACATTTATTTGTAATGTATGACAACTATAATTATTTCAGATCTTAGTTTGCCACACATTTACAGTTACATTGGATTAACAATGGTAGTAGCTGGGGAAATATTAAGAAAAGGTGCAATGTTTAATGCAGGATCTAATTTCAACCACTACATTCGAGACAGAAGAGAAAATGACCATCAGTTGGTGACGACGGGCCTGTATGCTATCTTCCGACATCCTTCCTATGTTGGATGGATGTGCTGGAGTGTGGGAACTCAAGTGAGATGTTTTAATGAGAATATATTTTGGCAATGTCTCAAGTATTTAAAATAAATGTTGCTTTATATGAAGTCTTGCATTGCTTTTTAACTGGTTGTTTTTATTTGCTGTAGGTGATGATAGGTAACCCTGCTTGCACAGTTCTCTATTTTATTTTCACGTGGTTCTTCTTCAGAGAACGAGTTGCAGCCGAAGAATATACGCTGTACAAGTTTTTCGGTAGCAGTTACGCTGAATATAAAAGAAATGTTCCATCAGGACTGCCTTTCATCTACGGTTATGATCCTCAGTGACACTTTACATCTTTCTAATTTGTTTTTATTTTTAATCTATTTATTGATTTTTTTTAATATCAAAACAAAAAAAACCGTGCGTATTAGTTCCATTTTTTTTTTATTTAAAATTGCAATACAAAATAGGTTCAAATATCACGATGGTAACACAAAACAATATATATATATATATATATATATATATATACATATATATATATATATATATATATATATATAACACAATCACTACAGCGAGATAAAATAAAGAAATATTTAAAATATTTGATTTATTAAAATATATAAATATATTGAGCACAATCTCAATCAAAACAGAAATTATTGACCAGGAATATATGACTTGAAAATATTTGACTAGATATTTTATCATATGATGTACAATTGTAAATATGAAATATTTGTAATAGATTTAATACCAAAATAGTCTTAGAATTCAATAAAAATGCGCAAATACATAATTTAAGCCCATGAAGCCATAATATATACACACATAGATACATTTTCAGTTCCAAAAATGTCGTTTTTGATGCATCTTTGAAATGAAAGTTCGAGTTAGGATTACATTCTCCGTAAAAACAAGAGTTTTTATTTAATAACTTATTTTATTTAAACCGAATTGATCTTCGCATCTGTCTCATTAAAATCGTAACGTTTTGCTGTTTCTGACTCGTATAGGTTTCTAAGCAGCTGTGTTCCTTCATAAACCCACTGCGGTCTGGCGCTTTTCCTTTTGTTAGAACATTGCTGTTTGGGGCTTGACGGGACCGAATAAACGTTCTCGCTTGCCCTGCTTGATTCGTCTGGCGTCTTTTCATCGTCTTCATCTTCTTGTTCTATTTTATTTTCACATTCATTGGAATCGTGTTTAGGGGGCGATGATTCAACGTTGGTCTGGTTCATTTCAGGGCTGAAGTTAGTGGCTAGACCGCCGCATGACGTCTCGTCGTCTACAGTTATTTCGGAATCCATATTTTCATCATCACTACAATAAGTAAACATGTCGCTTAATTTTCTTTCAAAATTTTCTTGCGGTGTACCATTTGCAGAAGCAATAATTGTAGTCTTCATTTGTTGTTTCGCTCTCATTCTATAGTTATGAAACCAGTTTACTACAGTTTTTGTTGCTACACCTAGACCAGCTGCCAATTCGTCTAAAGTAGCTTGACTTGGATATGGATCGGCTGCGTATGCTTGACGTAAAGAATGCTTTTGTTCTTCCGAAAAAAAAATTCTGGTCTTTTTTTGCTGACTGTCAGTTAAATTGTGATCGTCAATTGACTTGCGTTTCTTCGCTAAAAGTTAAAATAAATTATATATGAAAGTGTTATATATAATTAGTATTACAAAATTTATAGCAGTTATAATAAACATACTTCTAATTTGATCTTGGTACATTTTCAAGCGGCTGATACTCAGTGGGTCTAGGAGCCACAAATGCATTTTCAAGAAGGGTTCCCTTCCTTTCAAACTCAACATATGCCATGGTTTGGGTTTTGACAGTAATTCACTTACTGATCCTTGTGACAATCCTAAAACGGCTTCACCAAACAACTTTTGTCCAAGGTTATGAAATTGAAGTACTTCTTTAACTTTAGTTGTTATCTCAAAAGTGTCCAATTCTTGGTTGTTCTCGACATTTTTATTGACATTGTTTGGTGCCATGTAATCATTTTCGGCAGAATGACCAAACTGAGGAAGTCTCATCATCACATTTGGATGATAGAAGTTAATTGGATATTGCGGAGTGCGAGATAAAAATATGTTGTGCGGAGCAGCATTACCCGTCTCAAAACTGGCTTGCTTTAGATATTCATTATTTACATCATACTGTTGTTCAAATTTGATTGGTTTATCTAAGAAACTGTCAATGTTCTGTTTTGAAATGTACGGTGTTGAAGCCAACTTCGATGAACGATAAGAATTTGACATTTGGTTAATGAAATTCGGATATTTGCACGAGGCAACAGGAGATATGACGCTTGATATTTGATTTGACGCGGAGTTTAATGTTGACGCACTCTTATTTTCTGTACAAATTGCAAATCAATTTAAGTTTAAAATAAGTTTATATATTATAAATGATAAATAAGTATTACCTATATTGTTTGAACCTGTTAGCTTCATTAATTTTTCGGCAGGAGATTGAAATTGGGCTGCTACTAATTTTGAAACAGCTGTTTGGTCGTCAAGAAATATTTGCATTCGTATGAATGGTTCTCGACCTTTTTGAGTTAACATAAGCCAGGGTTTGGGACGAGCCAATAAATCACTCACACTTCCTTGAGAAAGACCTAGCACCATTTCTCCAAATAATCTTTGACTGATAGAATACTGACTCAAAAGATCTTTTACCTTTTTCACTAGTTCTTCCGTTTCAATTTCACTATAAATGTCCAACTGTTCTTGACTTATCGGCGGTAATACAGCTCTAAGAGGTCTTTGGGATTTGATTAGAAGTGAACTAGCAATACTTTGCATTTGTTGTAGTGGGGAGACAACGTTGCCGTTTTCTTTGCATTTTGTGTGACGGTTAAGATGGTTGTTGCTGTAATGTTGTGTGAAATTATGAGGATAAACTGATTTAGTTGACTTAGCTATATCTAACGCATCAAAACTTGATCCGATCGGTCTGTTGGTTCTCAAGTCCTGTGGGAAACTTTCTTCTCGAATGCCAACGTTAATCGCTTCAAAACTTTCGGGTTTTTCACGACTTTCTGTTTTCATATTTTCAGAATGCAAAGTTGGTTCGATTTTTATGACGTTATAAAGACTGCTGTCTGGTTCACTTAAAAAGTTGAAAGAATTTTCTTTGTTATCTATCAACTCAGTTGCTGCTGCAGAATTGTACTGGTCTGATGAACATGATGTTAACGGATTGTTTTGATTTATTACTTCATTGATACGAGATATCTCGCGTTTGTAAAGATCAGCATCCTCCTCGTTTCCTTCAATTTCCGCTTTGGAAGCCAATTTCTTAAGTTCATCTTGGTATATTTGGGCAACAATATCCCGATTGCCATCGCCTGCTTTGTGAAACCTGTGAATAATTTTAATAAGTATTCATTCACCTTTAGTGAGCTTTTTTATGAAACTAAGTTCTAACCTTTTAGTTTGGTTGTATCTTGATAGTTCTTGGTAATAAATATTGGCTACCATGGCTGATGCTGTGTTACTCTGTATGATAAAACATGCGTTTTGAAAGTTTGATAAGTCGTCGCACACAAAAACATAAAAAAAGTAAAAAAATTTTGATATTACTCTAACCATTAGTCCGTTGTTTTTCATTTGCATTTGCAACTTTGCTTCTGAAAGGATTTGTGCTATTTTCTCTTCAGTTTCTGCATCATCTACTTCGCTGGTCGACGTTGGCATGCTTGAGCCTAAACAGTGCAAATTTAAATTTGTGGCTCAAATAAAATGTTCAGTCGAATATTATAAAAAATTAACATTTCAAGATAAATTTCTGTTTTCTGTCTTTTTTGTCTCAAAGTGGCAGGTGAAAGCTCGCCTGGTTGACGATTAGAGTTCGAATTCTACTTAAGATGTAATGTACTTGATGCACTACATTCCCATCAAAATGTCTCTATTCATTTATCCTCGTGCAAGATACATCATTAGGTAAATTCGTGAAATGGTATATGTCTATAACGTACCTATATACAAAGAAGATTGGCAAAAAACATTTTTTGGACCGGCATATGTCATTTGAATTTTAAATCGGCTTGAATTTATTGTTTTCAATTATGCTTTGATTAAGAAAGAAGTTAACTTTCTTTCTCTATACACACGAACATATACATACACACACAAATATATATATAAATTTGAACAAATTTAAAACGTTTTAACCTTTTTTTGGAGCAAAAGATTTCAAAGTAGTGATGTTGTTTTCATCCGATGCCCACAAGTGCATTCTCCTGTACGACTCTCTCCCTTTTTCCGTCAATTTGTCCCAATGTTTTGGTTTTGAAAGCAATTCACTGACGGTCCCCTGCGACAGACCTAGAACGTGTCTCGCAAATAAACGTTGACCAATGTTGTGGGCGCTGAGAATTTCTCGAATGCGCTGAGCCACTTCTGAGGTGTCAAGGGACTGTGTGGCTCCGTAGACGCTTGCATCTCTGGGAGCGATAATTGCATCGCTGTTATTGTTCATTATATCGTCTGTCGTGCGTTGTGGCGACGAGAAAGCCCACGCTCCGTGATTCGTTCCGTTGTTTGAATTCAAATTGTACATTTCCTTGCTACTGCTGTTGTTTTTCATGTCGTCGTTGTTGTTAATGTTGCTTCTAATTGAAATACGGTTTAATGAGCTTTGAGTTGAATCGACATCATCGTTAAGGGAAGGGTCTGCAATTGTAGAATGACAGTGACTTGAATTAGAGCTACGAATGGTTTCATATTTACTTATTACATCCATATCGTTAAAAGAGTTGTTGTGATGACTTTTAAAATTAACGTTATCATCGCATTTGACGCTCACTCCTCGTTCCAGCGTCACTTTTTTGCTCATATTGTATCCATTCAACAAGTTTTCGTGATTTTGATTGTTGAATGCTGAGAATGTTGAGTCTAAATTCTGAAATGTTGGAATGTTCATGGCTAGTTTCGCCGGATGAAACAAGGGACTGGCCAAATCTATATTGAATTAACAATCAATAGATGCACGCAATTGTACGCAATATTTTCCTCATACATATGAAACAATGTATGAATAATTTTTTTATTATAATATTTATACACCATATTATTTCTAATATGATATTTTTTGATCAATGAAAAAATATTTTTATTATTTCAATTTTATAATTTATAATTCGTATTATTTTTGTTGCCTGTGTAAACAAAAATTATAAGATGTCGCACATTTTTATTTTTCAAAATTGCGCCGAAAATATGTACAGTAATTCATACATTGATTTGTTTGCCAGTAAAATGTACATTCAAGCAAATCTCTGCTAATACAGATGTTTAATTTTGTGCGGCTTAGAGAGAGACAATGAAATTGATAGTATAAGAAAGAATTAGAAGAGAGAAGAAAGAGAGACAAGCGCCATTCCTTTTGACAGTGAGTATTCGATCAGAAAACAAACATTCAATACAACTTGCATCTTAATAAGCTTCCTTATTGACCTCACCGCTCAATGCAAGAAATTATTTTTTCTATTATTTTCTCTTTAGATTTATCTGTTCTGTGAGCTGCAAAAAATATTTATTAACTCAACGTAAAATAACTACGTACAAATATGTATTTCTTTATTTTTAATTAGTTATTGTAAAGTTAATTTTCTCTCAACTTTATGCGTTTCTCAGTTATGAACACTAGTCTGCCCCATTCGTGAATAAGCATAAAGTGTTGGATGCACGTGCAAACGCGCAGGTAGATGTTCGGTGTGATTGAAGCAGTTGCTGCGCAGACGGTGCGGTGGCGCTCATTGACGCTGCTACATTTGAATCGCTTCTTCATTTCGCTATTGAACGATTTTCCTCCTTAAGCAAATATTTGATCGGTCTTGTAATAACAGAGCGTTGTAAGATTAGACGAAATTTAGATGACGCCACAAAAACGCGGAAGATTACAAAGAAAAGAAGAAAAAACAATTTTTTCCAGTTGTACATCATGTTTTAAATTAGCGATAGCCCTTTAATACTTTTTTTTATGTAAGAATATTCAAAAATTTCAAAGTTAAATAAAATAGAGAGAAATTAGTTATTAAAAATTAGAAAAGGGTTCTGAAAATTGAGTAAATGGTATCGAACTAAAGATGGACTAACGTGGTAGGAAAATGTTGCGATTCGCATTGAACCTGCAATAGTTTGGAAGCAGGGAAATCATGAAGTTGTTGTTGGTCACGTTTGTGCTAATTGGCTCACCTCTGCCCGTGTAGTGTGATATTTCCTGTTGCTGATTTCTATCCACTGCCTCGTTAGTTGTAGAATTTTTATTGTTTGCGTAAACGTTATTGTTAAAATCAAGGAAGGTTTGATTGGTTGCTGGCGCTGCTGCTGCTGATGTCGTGATTCTGTTGTTGTTCTCATCAATGGCTTGTCTGTTTAAAAATTAAATCGTTCTCAACGTTAAAAATTCATTGCTACCTTTTTTTCTTACAACATTTTCAACAGCAATGAGTTTAGTCAATGTTTATAATGTTTGCCAAAATTTAGATGAAAAATTCAACATTTGAATGGTTAAAGATTAAATAATATACTTGTACGTACATGTTTGATAAAAAGGCGTATTTATTTTATACTAAACAAATTGTACAGATGGAAAATTTTAATAACTTAAGTTTATTTATTTTTATTATTTATAATTTTCAAGTAATTTCTCACCATACCATCAATACTGAGAGCAATAAATGGCGTTAGATCGCTAACTAACTACCAATCTGCTGCAAGAGCCACGGCAATAATTATAAAAACGAGGACGACGACGCAAAGAAAACAACCACAATAACGACGATGCTAGGTAGAACAAAACACTAATTTGCCCCTATCAATAATTCAGCCCACGGGTCAATTTAATTGAAGAGCAGTTGTAAGAACAAAAGTAGGAAGCCGAGTAGAATCATGAAAGAGCGAGATAATGATCAGATTGGGACGCAGGTAGGTTGGTTGGCCAGCAAATAAATAGAAATATATCACAATACCCGCATGATTCTTATGCCCTTCTTGTCACACACATGCATGCAACTTGCACATTTCACGAAAACTTAAACTACCAACAATCTCGAAAATTTGGTTTAACTTTTTTCAACTGTTCATAATTACATGTCAATATAGCTTCACTGGATTTAATTATTTTGTGTTCATGGAAAAGGTTTTGTTGGTTTTGGTTGAACTTTGTTGCAATCTAAATAATTTATTAGCCATATTTCAGGTAAGTGAATCCAGGCAGTTTTACATCAAAAATAAATGTTTAATGCTACTGCGTCTATTTTTGCCATTTTTTTTTGTTGCTGTGATGCTTCTCGTCATAATTATTTATCTATCGGCTATAAGAGAGAGAATTGGAGAGAGAGAGAGAGAGGGAGAGAGAGAAAGAGAGAAGATATAAAAAAAGAAAACTTAATATAAATATTATCGTTTTATAATTAGGACTAAGGAGAACGCAGCCGCAATAGAACAAAGGCGTGGAACATCATCGACAAATGAATGGATTGAAGGGTCGACTCAAATTGCTCAAGATCAAAGTTTTATACGGCCTTTTATTGGCTGCCAACGGAGGATTGAAAGTGCATAGATGAATAAACATGGAATAATAAATAATAATTATCATGATAAGTGGTAAGACTGGCCAGAGATGTACAACAAAGTGTAGAAGTGTAAACAAGTGTACGCCTGCGTGTACTCCACGTCGTAAAACATTATTTATTTCCTATAAAAATTCATAATTGATAATCTGCTGTGTTTGTTCACTTCGTGTGGAATATCATTGAAGCTTTCAATTTGTTATTTAAACTAACTAACCAACCGATATGATAGTTAGCTACATGTTTGAATCAAAAAAAGTATTCATTACAATACGATAGCGAATATGATGTGAAACTCAAGTGACTACGGCAGTCGTGTGTATGATATTAATATAATATTTTACCGGAAAAAATTAAAGTTAAAAATGGATGTAGATAGGACAGAAAAATATTAAAAGAGTTATTTATGTAAAAAATTAATGTATAAAATGTATGAGCATATAACAATACACAGAAAAATCACAAAAACAGAGAGAGAGAGAGAGAGAGAGAGAGAGAGAGAGAGAGAGAGAGAGAGAGAGAGAGAGGGAGAGAGAAACACGAGACACCGACAGACAGAACAGACAGAAACATAATTATTTGGCAAAATATACCAACCTATTTGTGCAGAATAAAACGCACATTAAAGAACATTTTACAAACACAATTCAGTCTTTTTTGATGGGCGGTAAATCAAATATTTTCGAACGTAATTTATGTTAATGGTTATGTTTTGTAATGCCCTTTCATGCGCCTTAATGCATTTGTATGCCTTTATTATATTCGCTATTGAGTCCAATTGCAAATTGTTACTCTTTTGCAACACACCGCTTGCCATACTTTGGAGGAGTAGGGACACCGTTAGTTGCGGTAGCAGCAGTAGTGGAAGTGGCAGTATTAGTTTTAGTACTAGTCTAGTAATGAAAATAGTATTAGTACTGAGAACATCAGTTGTTTTAGTAACTGTAAATATTAACTGTATTACAGATAGTGACGCTTTTTCAAATTGAGATCTGTAAGAGCTCCATCTGCACAACAACTTGACGCACAGATGAACATTTACACTACATTCTGTGGTATGAATACGTGCACACACACACACACACACACACACACACAGACAGACACGCACACACGCACGCATAATCAAAGACATGCTCTGTAATTGACAATGCATGCAAAATATCAACAGACACATCGCGTTGAATTTGTATTCATAAATATTAAATGAACAGATGTAATGATTTGTGCCTACCTATGCATTATATTTGTTTGCTCATATTTGCTCACATGACAGTTTATTATTTCTTCTTTTTGTTTATTTAATTAGCCGCCCGCTCGTCCAATGTTTTTAAATACACTTCAAAAAACATGTTTGTATACATAGACATATTATATATATATATATATATATATATATATATATATATACAACTATATATGGAATGAGTATTGTTGTTTTTCTTTATGTGTTTCATATGGTAAATATTTTACTGAAATATTCATTGATTTAATTGTATGATAAAAAATTAATGAGAATGTATATAATTGTTACGTAGGATCATTTGGTGGCTGACGCTACATAGTTATGTAGTTGAAGTTTCTATTCTTCCCATCACAATTGATGTGATTTGTCGGGCTAGGATTGGCGGGCATTTTTTGTATGTGAATAACATGTATGCCAGCGACTCTATTGGTTCTTTTGTTTCTATTTAACTTTGAAATTTTTTTTATTTGAATTAAATTAATAATTTAATATCCTGGCTAATGTTGTTTTTATTGTAGTTTTGGAAGAGTTTTTATTGAATGTTCTTAAAATACGAACCAACAATTTTAATTAACACATGCTTCCAACATTATTTTCCTTGTTATAACATTTAACGTTTTAAATTTTTTTTTATATAAATAGTTTATTCGAATTTATTCATTAATTTTAACATCTTTCATTGTTAAAAATGGAATAAATCACTAATATCTAAATAAAATACAAAAAAGGTCGTGATAAGCAAAAAAAAGAGAGTCGACCACAAAATTCCACAAATCTTTGGCCACCCGTCAACATTTTGCTCCCCGTAAAATTTTAAAATTTTTAAAAATTTTTGTCAAAGTTGTCTAGATCTGCCACTGGAATTCGGTTAACGAATTTGAAATAGATGAACGTAGCAAAGATGGCAAACTGATTAAAAATGAGTATGTTTTGAAGAGAGCAACATAATAGAAAAAATACGGAAAAGAAGATTAACTTGGTTTGGAAATTTAAACAGGATGAACTTAGAGAAATCACCATATAGAGCCTCATTCAACTGAGTAGAGGGTAAGAAAAGAAGAGGTCATCCAAAAAAGACTTGGACTAACAATATCAAAGAAGACTTCAAAATAAATAACACAAACATCGTAGAAGTCGGAAATATGACAAAAGATAGGAGAAGATGGAGGCTCTTTGTGACTGGCTATTGCCGCCCTAGGCTGGCAAACAGCAGATTATAATGATGACATTATACATTGTGACAATATAAATAGTAGTTAATTTCTTACAACTTACGATGTAGTAATGTAATTGAATGGTATAGAACGCGTGAACAAATATTGAAATGTATAAAATGTAGAAGCTTATAATAAGAAAATGAATATCGGTTTCATTAATTTAAAACCGGATAAGACTATTAGACATAGAACAATAAGACAAATGATAAGTATGAGACAAACATCTATGATACAAAGAACAAGTAAATTTGGAATGGGATTATTAATGAAGGGATACTCCAAGTTCAAATATGCGGAATGAAAGGATTTAGAAGCCGTAGAAATTTTGAATTTTTTAATAATTTGCTCAACAATTTAAATCTTGATATTTTATAAAGTTCGGCTCGAGTTTGCGGATCGGTTTGAAATGATATGAACAGTATAAACATGAAAACGTTAAGAGCAACAATAAAACATTTTGCAATCAACAGCAGAGGCGATATAATCAACAAAGATGTCTCCATATCAACTTTGCCAAATTGTAACAATAAGAAAGACATAAGAAAAAGACGAAGATGCATAATAAAAAAAGACGAGGAGGCAGAAGAAAAAATGAAGACGCATAATAAAAAGATGTAGAAATGAAAAGAATAACCAACAAGATGGCACGTTTGATGGCTTCATAATCTGCTCGGCCGTTCAGTTTCATCTCAATCTTACTCATCAGATCATCCACGTTGCACATTCTTCGATAACATGGCGACAATGCTGATGATGATGCTGATGATGATGATGACGATGCAGCAGTGGCTGAATATGTTTGCTGACGACCTGCCGGGGAATGTTGTTCAGATGTTTTGTCGGGTTTCGTTGGATCGTTCTCATCGGCGTTATCATGAGTGCCGTTACGGTCGTCATCTTCTTCGTTATCATCCTCATCATTCAAGTCATCTTTGTTATCGTTTAAAATGTCAGTGAGTGAGTGAGAGTGGTGATGATGACCGGCAGAGCTCAGAGATTCCTACAAAAAACGATGAAATATTAATATTTACTCGAACATACGATTGATGTCAAATTTTATTCATTTATTCTAATTTCAAAATGCAGTACCCAACAAAACATGAGCTGAATTGTAAAAACATATTCTCATCATCAAACACCGTCAAAATTATTGTTACCAATATTACAATCATTAGCAATATTATCGTCGTTCTAGTTATGTCATCATCATGATCAATTACATTGCAATTCATATCATCATCTTTTTCTTATTCATCCTCATCGTCATCATCGTCATTATCATCATCAGAGATTGATACTTCCTACATAAGTTGTTTAAGTTAAGGTTTGATAGAATCAAATGTATATATAAATTTTGTCTGAAAAATTTTTTCAGCTTCCTACGATGTGAGTAATTTTTTTACGAAAACATTGGTTTTGATCATTGTAATTATCATATTCATTATCATTATAATTGGATAATTATCATCGTCGTCATCGTCGTCACAATCATCATTATCACCGTCATCATCATTCTCATCCTCATCATCGTCACAATCATCGTCTTCATCATCATCTGCATCTTCTTCTTTCTCCTCACAACGTTCACAGCATAATCAACATGCATTATTATTGGTTGCATGAAGGAAGCGAATCAGATGGAACAAAAGAAATGCATTACGTGAATTCCAATATATTTCATTCCTTAAATTTATCTTGCACACACCACACACACATACACACACACACATATACAACACACGCACACTTATACCATACCTATCCTATACATCCATAGGTATAAATCGTTTTAAAACATATCCTAGGTATTAACACAACATTTTATGTAGTTATCTATATGACTTATGTAATGTAACATAAGGTGACGATACAATTATTTAAAGAAACTGTCGGACATACATCATTGTGATAGCTAACGACGGACTGTTAAATGAACTTTGACCCGGTCAGGTCATTGCCCTGATCACGCACGAATTTAAACAACAAAGCACTCTGCTGTTGAGAGGGAGTGTGATGATCTTGCAAACAACAACAATTATTCTTAAAGTGTGAACTTACATTTTAAGAAGCAATAAACATCCAGATGCTAATTTAAAATTTCCATATGTCATCTTTCTTTTAATTATTTGGGCAATTAAACACAGGTTTTACGAGAAATATTACAATTTATTTTAGAAATTTTACAACATCATCAAAATATTTTAAAATATTTGTCAACCACTAAACCACTGAGTTTGCTATATTTCAATATTTCTAATAAGACAAACAAAACGTATTCAATTATAGTTGTTGTAAAATGAAACATTTGCTTTATTTGGCTTTGAAACACTTTAATTAATTTTCTAAGGTCATTTTGTTTTTATCGAAATAGATCTAAAATGTTGCACACGAACGTGCACTAACTCGCACACACACGAACGTACACGTGTGCATGATTTGTGTGCACACTCAGCTATATTACACGCTCGTAAAGATGACAATGAAGTTCCTTCAATTTTCTGACGTACTGTTATCTGGCGTGGAACCCGGCCAACACTTTGCCGTACCTGCCTTCTTTTAAGAATCATGCGTGCCACTTGCTTTGAAAGTTCAGTTCAATTTTTGATACGCTGTCTAATTTAATTAGGATGAACTTGCCGACACAAACGTATGTCGTTGGCATTAAGAGAAAGACTGCATCACATAACCAACACATCACATAACCAACGTCCAAAGAAACGATCATGTCATTTTTTTTATAAGAATTGATCAACCAAGCAAAACGAATGATAAACATCAACAGCAATTTAAATAAAAGAAAAAAATCAAATCGAATTAATTTTAACAAATTTAAAACTTTGCACATTTATTTCTATTAATGAATTAAAAATCATGTTTAAAAAACACAAAATTAGATAAGAGTATGCTGAAAATCGGAACTTTTTTGTGAAATAAATAACAAAGAAATTGAAAATTTTTTTATCGTGAAATTTTGTTCAAATTTTTTTTAAAAGCAACAAAAAATACTGTAAAACAGAGCTTTGAAGAGGCAAACAAGGATTGCAACATGACCTTACATCATAAAACACAACACGGTGTAACATAAAATAATATATAAATATAGAAAACAAATAAAAGAAATTGAAATCAATTTAATAAAAGAAATTTTTTAAATAAAATAATCTAAAAAACAAGCAGAAACAAATATTTCAGTCTGCGACAAAATATACAAACGTGCAACTCAAAAAGTAGACGAAAAAAACACCAAACAGAACAAAAAATATCTCATAAAAAGAACAAACAAACAAACGAGAGAGATAGATGCAGATAAAAAAGACACACACAAACAAACTATCGCGCATTGCATGTTTGTTTGATGGGGCGTTATATAAATGCAAATAGGAAGACTGAATCAATTGGTTCTTGTAATTCAATAATTTGACCACATGTTTGCCCATGCACTCTGCTCATGTATCGAAAATCCTGAGAGCTTGTCTCATTCTCTTCGCTTTTGTGTACACGTTCTCTGCGTGATCGTGTGTTCTGCTCTTTGTGTGTGCGTGTATGTGTGGACGCGCGTGTTTGTACGTTTGTGTGTATCTGTGTTTGTAAGTATAAATGTGTGTGTGTACGTGTGGATGTATGTGTGTGTGCTTGTGCGTGGTTACTTATGTTTTTTCTGGTTGAGGTTAGTAGATAGATACTAGATGCCTGCTCTCTGTTCGTTCGTTTGTTAGTAGGTAGATGTTTTGATGCACATGTGTTTGCGCTCCTATTTAATATAAATGCGCTTGTTTAAAAAATATTTTTTATTACAATAAATTAAAAATAATAAAGCAAATTTTTTCCAAACAAAGTTGCATGATGATGTAGTCATTGATTTGAAAGAAGAAAATACTGTGAATAATGTGGAATAATGTACATTGTACGGTAATTTTATATATTTCATAACTAGCATTTGAGTAAAGGAATGTTAGCCGATGTTCTGGTGAGCTGATAAATAATTAAATTTAATAGTAAAAAATAATTTTAATCAAGCAGCATTTGAAATGGGCCCATAAATGCTGCTGTTTTATAAATATTGTCTCATCAACCGAACTGAACATTTGTCGTATATGTGTCACTTATACAAAAATCTGTCACATTAACGTCAGCGCCATTGGTTCGGCTAATTAGCTCGGACGGTAAGATGTTCATCCTAATACACGCTGATCAGGTTCAAATACTGTCTCTTCTCAAAACTCTTACATGGTTTTTGCGTAGGATGAAATACTTGTTTGTACATTCAACTAACATCTGTATAAGTCGAGCAGTGCAGGTGAACGTACCGCACGATGCAACCAAGTAGAGATAGATTTATGAAGACATTGAGTTTGTCGGATTTTTTATAGGAAAACACTTTTATAAGAATGATAAAAAACATAAACATAATTCCGATTTCAATGAATTTAACAGCTCTAAAATATAAAAATTAATCTATATGACATCTATAATGTCATCAAATTTCAAACTATATCATTAACAGCCAAGCTACTATGGCAATAGAAACAACAAAGACATTAAGATGACTCAAAACCACGACAAACAAACTAGAGAACAAATTAATTTGACATCAACAGGAGAGCTCTGCTGCCTTCAAACACATTTCAAAAACAATGAATAATTCTGACAAAACAACACTGGTCATCGAGTCCCACAACACACCTTCACAACATCAAAGACAGCACAACTACGTCATCTTGAAAAACAATAGCATCAATCATAACAAAAAACTGCAATACGTAAAAATATCATCAACAGAAAAAAACGACAATATATAAATTATCAACACTCAAAATCATTGAACGCAGTGTTTAAAAAATAACTAAATGACAACAACAAAATCTAAACAACACCAATAGTAAAATAATAAAAAAATAAATTTAAGCAAAATAAAAACAAATTCAACAAAAACAAACAAAAGAAAACAACTGACCTTTTGTTGACCTTCACTTCCGGTTCCTTTGATGAGTTCAGAACTGTCAAAGATTATAAATATCTTTCAAAACATAAAAACCTCCTATTGTGTTTCATCAATCTTTTAATGTCAATTAGAAATAACGTATAAAAATAAAAAAAAATGGTGGTAGCAAAAATAATATTTCGCAAAAATATTCAAAAATTTGTTTCGTTGGTTTCTACTCAATTACATTCGCACGTACTTGTTGCTAAAGGATAACTGAGACTTGCCAATATGTACAGTGGCGTCGCTATATTTGCATGTTTATGATATTTGTTTCTCTTGTTTGTCTGTCAGTTTGCTTGCGTTGTTCTTGTGTTTTTTTGTGTGTACATGTGTCGGCGTTAGTTAAGCGTTTGCATTGAAAATGTTATTCTGGTTGCAATGCGGCGTGTTAGGTATTAATTGGAGAAGTTAATTAGCATTCACGACATGCTCCCCGTTCCATCAATCAATCATTCATTCTTTTATTTTTTCATTCAAACCATTAATCACTTGTTTATATTGCAATATGCCGTCAGCCATCCAGCCTCTCATACATCGCCTAATCAATCAGTCAGTCAGTCAATCAATCAATCAGTCAATCAATTTGTCATTCAATCATTCAATCACTCATAATTTGAGTTTAATTATCACATGATTGTGTGTGATCTCCTGATCACAATTATGTTGTTAATCACGACATATTTTAATTTTGTCTTCACGCACACACACAAGCATACACACGCAAGACAAGAACACACTTAAATGCAATACTACCACATACTTACACAGTATAGAAACATGTAATGAATAGACAAGAAACAATTAAACACACACACACACACGAGCTATAGCACGTCAGAGATACATATTCCCGTCTAACTGTAAAGGCAGATTTTAATATTTTAGCCTAAATGTTGATATTTCTGTTTCTCCCTTTCTCACTCTCTTTTTTTTCTCTGTCTGTCTGTCTGTTTCTCTCTCTCTCTCTCTCTCTCTCTCTCTCTCTCTCTCTGTCTGTCTGTCTCTCTATCTCTTAGGTGCGCGAGTTTACGCACGTAGTAGGATAGCTGATGATATGTAGAGTAGGTAGGTAGGAAGAAAAGTGTGTTGAAGTTATTTAATGAGGAATGAGTGACGTCATTAATGGAAAGATGATTGATGCTGCTATCAATCGCATGCACTGACACACAATTCCAAAGTCGGATTTTCAATTTTTATTAACCGTTAATAAAGCATGAATAATGAAGATCCGTGCTGATGCTAGTTACGCAGTTTTCAGAAAATTTAAGTGAAAATTTAAAAAAAGACACGCATAAAAAATGCGAAAAATAATTAATAATAATAATATTGCGATTATAATTATAGTATTAATGATTATTAAACTCGTCTTTTAAGGGAATAAGTCCACAATACACAGACGCTCTCAATAATGAAACACCAACAAATTACAACAGCACTCCACACGACAATACAAAACATTATGACATACCTCACAACCATCCACCACATGCGACCACACGCAACTACACAGACCACACACAACCACCCACTACGCGCGACCACACGCGACCACACACACAGACTGCTCTCTTTACTCTACAACTAAACACACACAACCTCACACAAACGCCCACCACACGCAACTACACAGACCACACACAACCACCCACTACGCGCGACCACACGCGACAACACACAGAGACTGCTCTCTTTACTCTACAACTAAACACACATAACTTCACACAAACACCCACCACACGCGACCACACACAACCACACTACCCAGACGGACACTCCATCAAAGCATCCAACAAGAGCAGAGACTAATTGAGACTTCAACGACAAGACGACAACGACACATCGACCAACTATTGAATCTTTTCGTTCCGCTCATTGATTGTACATACGAGCGTGACAGCAGATAAAATAAAGAAAAATAACAAGAAAAACACAAAAACTTCTTTCAATGTTAAAAGTAAATAAGCTAAAAAAAATTATCAGAAAAAAAACTTCCAGATAGAAAACATCGGAGTTTTAAAAAGATTCAATTTATAGAAGAGGCTAGAAATGAAAGTAACGCCGAATGTAAGCAGAAAGCACAACAACATGAAGAAACAAGATGGCGCATGAAACTGATGCGGCAAATAAGACAGATCTTCCTGATCACCTGTATCAAATGTTCAGAAAAACATTCTCTACAAACGTCAAGAAGAAAGTAATAGATTTTTTCTAAAACTGAAAATATAGATGAAGATACACTGTGATTCCGATGTGGCAGGTATGGGATTAAGACAGTTTAATTTTCATTGAAAATGTAATGAAAGCCAAATGTTTTTTTGGCGAAGTATCGTTATTTAAATGAAAATAGTTGCTGTCTCCATGCGTCGGATCGATTGCGGCTGTAAAAAATTTAAAATGTTCTTCAATTAACAACTTGGTCGATAGAAAAACAAACTTGCGATTTGAATAATTTTATTATACAAAAACATGCATAAACACACAAAAATATGTGTGTTTGTGAGCGTGTGTGTGTGTGAGTGTGTGTAAATATTTTTTTGTACACAACATTCATGTATTATTTCTGGTTGCTCAGTTTAACACCAGTAGCATATCAGCTACCAGATTTGTGGAAACAATTTTCATTTGTTCGATGTTTATTTAGTTTATTATGCATCTATGTTCTAATGTGCAGAAAATTAAACGTTGTGATGCACGCGCATACATCGCTCGCACGTACACATTTTGAAAGTTTTGTATGCATTGGCGTGCACAATTTAATGAGTTTGTTTATTTGTGTGTATGTGTGCACAACACAGACCACGATACAAGTAGAACAAGACTTGAATACTAATTCAATGTCTGCTGCTCAATGAATTGAATCACAATCGTCGTCGTCATCATCATTATCAAAATGCAATCATTATCATAATCATCTATTTCTTCTTCTTCATTATTAAACCTGCAAAGAAGATTATCACATTCATCATTCTTGTCATAATCATCTTGGTCAAGATCGATACTCCAAACATCTTTCTATCGTTATCACTTAAAATGTTATCATTTCTACAATCGTGCAATCACACCATAAGGGTAATTAACATCATCATTCTTTTAATGCTTACCATTAAACCATCATTGCATTATCACTATCATCATCTTAATCATCATCATCACATCAAAACCGCATTTACAAGATATAATTACATCGCACTTATATATAATGTGATGACGATGATGATGATCGTCGTCATCATCACCATCACGAGAATAAACAAAATTATCATCATCATCATCATCATCATCTCCATTCCATTTCTCCATCCATCAATCCTGCCTGCCTGCATGATACACGATGATGAAATGAAATGATTATGTACAAATCTGTCTGGCTGCGTTGTCTGATCAATATTTATAATTCTCCATTATTCAGCCTCTGCTTGCTCTCTCCTCATTGCAAGGAACTCATTAAATGAAAAAAATATTTGACGCAGTTTAAATTTTTAATTTGCAACTCAATGTTTCATATTAGATCTTAATCACATGTTAATAAGCGTTCCATGCAGTTTGTTTTTGTTGAAATTAAGCGCCACTATCGCATAAACATTTGCATGGATTATTAATTTAAAATTTAAAACTTCCGCAGACGAGCAAACATTAATGAAAGATCCAGACAAACTCGATTGAACGGGCCCGCGCTGAGCACTGGTCAATGAATGATGTACATACATACATACATACATACATACATACATACATACATACATACATACATACATACATACATACATACATACATACATACATACATACATACATACATACATACATACATACATACATACATACATACATACATACATACATACATACATACATACATACATACATACATACATACATACATACATACATACATACATACATACATACATACATACATACACAAACATACATACATAAAACCGGACGGTAAACTATATCGACATGGAGGCAAAGTGAAGGGCCAGGAATGCCCTGGTTCGTTCAAGGCAGCCGACCAGCCTCCGGAGCACCAATGGGCCGCGTCGCAGGGATCATCGCAAACAAACGGCATTTGTTTTTTTTTCGCATTTGTTTTGTTCAAGCCCACCAGGGGCGGTTGCAGGACTAATCAAGCCAATTACGTTATTAAACGGTTGGCCGAATTCAGTTCGACCGAGGTCGAGATTATTGTGGCAAGCTTCAACACTGACCACAACACCAAACCGCGTAAGCACAATCCAAACAGTTGGATTAGTGCAGTAACCACTCGGATTGAACAGGGCAGTCTCTCGGCGGCCGTCAGACTTGCTTGTTCGCCCGCAGGCCTGGCGGAGAGCTTGCCTGAGACACTCGCTAAACTCAAAGCTATTCATCCCAGTGCTCCATTGAACAGGCGAGCTTTCCCCGCGCAGGAGCCGTCCAATGGTCGCGTTTCACCAGCCCAGGTGTTGACGGCTTTAAAGTCGTTTAATAATGGTTCATCGGGAGGCCTTGATGGCTTGAGGCCTCAGCACATAAAGGATTTACTTTCCGGTCCGACGCCCACCGATGAATTGTTAAATAACCTCACCCGGTTTGTAAATTTGCTGTTATCTGGGGTCTGCCCTCCCGCGGTTAGCCGTTTCTTTTTTGGGGGCCGTCTGGTGGCTTTAAACAAAAAAGATGGAGGGATCAGACCCATCGCGGTGGGGAATTTCTGGAGGAGGCTGGCCAGTAAGTGCGCTCTGGCTTTAGTGTTGGAACAGGTCAAAGCCAAACTCTATTCTATCCAATTGGGCGTCGGTGTGAAAGGTGGTGCTGAGGCGGCCGTCCACGCCGTACGTGAACTGATTTCAGCACTTCCAAAACGGTGGGGATTCTTGAAGATTGATTTCAAGAACGCTTTCAACACCCTGAGAAGAGACTCAATGTTAGAGGCAGTTAAGCAGTACTGTTTTCAAATTTATAATTTTTGTCATTCCGCATATGGCCGAGTCTCTTCTCTTGGTTACGACGCCTGGGTGGTTGAATCGTGCGAGGGCGTACAGCAAGGCGACCCTTTGGGACCGATGCTTTTTGCTCTAACCCTTCACCCGCTGTTGACGAAGTCATCCTCGGCGTTTGTTTGTGGCTACCTGGACGATGTCAGCTTGGCCGCAGAGGGTAACATCTTAGCGGACGACTTCCTGTCGCTGAGGGTCGGCGCTTCCATCATTGGTCTTGAATTAAACACAAACAAGTGTGAACTACTTGTAAATGACACGTTTCAAATGCCACACGTGCTGGCTAATGTCCCCACAGTGCCCCATTCATCATTAAATTTTTTAGGCACTCCAATGATGGCCAGGACAGGTTTTTAATAAAAAACTTTTTGAGCTAAGATTTGCCCTCGAACGTGTCTCTCTTCTCTCGGTCCACGACGCGCTGACAATCATCCGCGGCGCCCTCAGTTTGTCGAAATTGATGTATTTTTTGCGCACATCCAACTTTGTTAATGCAGCCATTTTGGGTGAATTTGAGGGTGCTCTGCGGGTGGCCCTCTCAGCAATTTGTAACGTCGATATTACCGACAAGGGTTGGTATCAGGCTCAGCTGCCGGTACGATTTGGGGGACTGGGGTTACTAAGCGTGGTTCAGCTTGCACCAATTGTTTATAAATCTTCCGCATCTGCCACGCTTGACCTACAGTTTGCCCTTCTTCGGCAATTTAGTAGCCTACACTGTACTCCACCGACTCCAATCCAACCAACAGACCTTTCCCAGGGCAACAATTTGGAGGAAGCATATAAACGCACATTCAAAGAGTTGCTTTCCTCAAGCCCTGACTCGGCAATCTCCAAGGCCTCAATTCCGGTTTTAAGGAACCGTCTGGCATTGCGGCGCACGACGGTAAGCGCCCTGACGGGTGTACCTTGATCCCTTGGAGAGCCGGCAGGTGCTTGGCGTGGGACGTTACCGTTCCGGGCACCTTTGCTGAGCGCTACGTGCAGCTTACTAGCAAAGAAAGCGGTTTGGCTGCAACCAGGGCATCTGACGAGAAGATCAAAAAGTACGACGGAGCTTTCCCCTCGATGGAGTTTTTACCGATTTGTATCGAGGTCCTCAGCCTCATGAACCGTAACACCTCCAGGTTTTTCAATCGAATTTGTAAAAATATCAGTATTAGGTCAGGCAATAGTAGGGAATATTTTTTCGCTATGAATAATATCTCGTGCATTCTGCAGCGGTTTTTGCGCGTCTGTGTGTTGGAAAATGTGGAGTTGAATGCCGACGGGGTTGAGTGACGTTATAGCAAATAAAATCAAATTTAGTCAGATGCTTGGCTTTTGGTGTCATTCGTCAATGATTTGGTTTTAACATAAAAAAACATACATACATACCATACATTCCCATACATGTTAATGCCGGGTTTCTAACGATCAAAAAATGCTAATTTATTAATGAAAAATATGTTACAGGATGTTCTGCATATACTTATAAGTTGGAGTATAATTTAGAAAACATTTATATGGGTTTAGAGTTTTGAATCAACTTGTATTCAGCTGTACAGAAAAACAGATAGTAATACGAAGCAACAGTGTTTTCAAAATTGCCCCTAGTCCAGTCATCCTTGCGGTCATCATCACCAACAAACATCACCAACAAACATCACCTTAATTCACATATCTGCACATTATATAACCTAACGAAAACTCATTCAAGTGAGTTAAGAGTTGATTAACTACATGATAATTTTTATATCTCATATCATACAATTTGACAGTCATTTAAAATCAATTGACATTTGAATAGATGTAAAACCGTCAAAAGGAAAAAAGTCAAATTCAAATTAAAAGGCAAACAAATGTAAATAATATTTATTATAATTATAATAATTTTTATAATTATTTTCATTTTGACAAAAATTTTCAAAGCCGAATAATTCTAACACTTTTATAACAGCTTAACCGGAAATAATTTATAAAATGAACCTAGTGACCTCAGCTCTCAACAACATCAAATGTTTTAATTTCAAAGTCATTAAAAAGATCAATCATAAAATGTTCAGATCGAGAATGAAATCAACCCAAAAAGGATGCACACACACAACCATGCAAACTTATAGGGCGAGCGTTGGAATGGCTTCACAATCAGAGAGATGAAAAAAAACTATTACAAAAATAACTTCCGTATAAACTTTCAAAATATGATGAAACTGCTCAATTAAACCGTCATAACTATTTATGTATGAATGTATATATGTATGTATGTATAATACATGAACAAGTTACACTAGTAGCATAGCATATACTTGCAATCAACACTTGTGTTAATGAGGTTATGTTTGGTAGCACTTGAAATTAAAACTCAACTGCTACTTGATTGCTTAAAGTTGAAACAGGTTTTTTTTTTGAAAATCAACAAAATAGTACAATTTTTCAATGTATAAATGATACAATTGAAAATTTAAAAGAAAAGAGTGATAAAAAGAAACACTCAAATGTAACGTAAACACAAACTCAGACATTCACACACACATACACACGCATACAGACACACTCATTTACTTAGCAATCTTTACAAACACAAGTAAAAAACAGCACACAAACACACACAAACAGTATGGAGAAACTTACTTAAGCAGACAAACTTATATATCGTACGTTGTTATATTAACATGTGCACACATCGACTTATATTTTTAAGCATCATATGCCAACAGACGCAAACACAGACAGACACGCATGTAGAGACGTAGCCAGACAGACAGAAGAAGACGGAAACAAACAGATGCATCGAATATCGTGTAGAACAGCAGGTGCACAGGAAAAAGACGGGCACATTGATCTGCTGAGTTGACGTGGGTCCTTGAAATCCGATGCCATGTCCAATCATATTGAACTGAGATGCTCGCTGATAGGGGAGCTTGCTTCTTCTTCTTCTTGTTTTTTTTTTGTCAGTTTGTGCGTCTCTATGTGTGTCTCTGCATCTAGATCTCTGTTTCTATGTGCGTTCATCTTTGCCATTCGTGTTTCGTGTGCGTAATTTTGCGCAACGGTGCATAAAATGAATGGGTGTGGTGTGTGAATCTGCTTGCGAGTGTGATGGTCATTTGTGATAACTATTTTAACATTATTTTGCGTGTGTTTGTGTGTTGTGTTTTGTGAAATAGTGCTAGTTGTTTTTGTTCATGTGTCTCCGTAAACATTTTACATTTACAGTGTTACATGTTGCTACCTGTGGTTATTAAGTAAAATTTGTTCATTCATGTAGTGTACGTAATATTTGTCTATCGGCATGAATGTTTGCCTGTTTGACTTGTGCCGATGCTTCTTCATGGGTTGGATGGCAAGACATGAGGAGAACACTTAACCGTGAGTACATCTATAAACAGGATCAACTGCAACGCAGTATAATGTTTGCATCATCGTGTTTGTTTGCTGCTGTCCTACGACCACTACAATATGAAACACACAGCAACTTCACTATTCGACATTAGGTCTACACAATGGAAGTTGAAAATAACATCAGCAACACCAGATAAATAAACACAATCACACAAGTAAGCTGCAGATATTTTGGAAAAAGAATCACGAGCTGGTTCGTAGATAGACAAACACGTAAAATATTTTTATAAGATAACTCTCGTTTATAAGCAGATGTCCTTTTGGGTACTTGAGTGCAAAAACTAAAAAACATCCCACAAACAGATACAGACAAACTTGCAAACACGCATACAAACATTTTTAAACATTCGTACACTCACACATGCATTCCTACATGAAAGAATATATCCACACATACACAGACACATGCATGCAGTACAAGCATGTACACACGGTCATTCATACAAAGATTATATCATATCTAATTGCACATGTACACTTGCAGATACGTACACTGACAGTAAAACAATTGAGCGAGAGAAAGATTAATAGCTCCGTAAGAAGGGCAGCATTGTTCTCCATAACATCATCATTCTCTCTTCATTCCATCATTTCGATTATTGCTATTATTATAATTATTTGTAATTATTATTATTATTATTTGTAATTATTATTATTATTATTAATTATTATTATTATTATTGTGTGTTGTGGTTTTTGTTGTTGTTGTTATCGACAATTTTTCATCTTTAATGACAACGCTACGCCGTTTAGCTTCAGTAATTTTTTTTATCCGATATTAATACGATGAGGTGGAATATGTGACGTGTCAGTTTTAAGTGTGGATTCATTTTCCGCGGCTCTCAACTCATCCATTAAAATACTAAATTCTGAATAACACGCACACAGACACACGCACAGACACCCACACACAAACACACAAAGAGACACACACATCAGTCTAAAAGATTTTCTTCACCAGTCGCTCCCGTTTTAACGTTTGCTCTCATAAAAATTATTGACTGCTCGAAGATAATAAATTTCACGTATTTAATTCTTAAATTTTTGTTGAAAAATTAATTCACACTCCTAAAAGATATAAAAAAAAATCACGCACGCACAGTGGCGGTTCTAGACAATTTCGATAGGGGGGGGAGGCAAAAATTTAAAAAATGTTTAAAATTTCACGGGTGGGACCAAAATCTTCACGGGTGGGGCCAAAATCTGTGGTAGTGTGGCTGACGACCATTTTTTGCTTATCACATTCAATTTTTGGTTAATTTTGCACATAAAACAGTTCATTTTCTGACTTGTATTAAAAAGCTGCCCACAACGGGGCATCAAAATATTAATCGGGGTATAAAATTATCAGATCATGTTTTTCTAAAACTTCTTTTATTGTTAGACAGTTCCATCATACACCCATGTTGAGACAACGGAATATTTATATAGCATTTCTTTACAGAATAATTTTTTTTAATACTATTTTGTTTCTTTTGTGTCCTGTCTGATTGATCAATAAAATTTATAAACTAACATTAGAACTTCTTTTAGAATAAGTTTTAAAAATATAATTTTCATCTGGTTGATTATGTAAACATGTATTTATACGTGTAGTTATGGGATGTACCTGGATAGAAAATGTTTGTTCATCAGTGGGTTAGCGTTATGTGCTGTGCAAGAGTGTTATTGAAATGCCGAAATGCTGGTTCCAACGTTAAATAGCTCAAACATGAACTACTCTAGTGACATAAAAAATTTTAAGTTCCACCAGTTGCAACACATCATATTTTAGTTACTTACATTTACAAATATTTTAACGCATCAATAATTTTCATAATTATCAAAGATTATATATATACACATATACACACGTATTGTTTGATTGCTTTTTGTTGTCTTTTAGTGCTATTTTGGTATGGGTATATATAACTTACGTTTAAGCCTATTATTTATTTATATTTATATTTATTTATATATTATATATATATATATATATATATATATATATATGTGTGTGTGTGTGTGTGTGTGTGTGTGTGTGTATGTGTGTGTTGTGTATGCATACATGCATGTTTGTGTATATAATATAGGCAAAAAAAGATGTCTTTTATAGTTTGTAAAAGTTTTCTGAAACAAATTTGAATAGAAAATCAGTAAATAGAAATGAAGCAAGGAATATAAGAAGATAAATGATTGAATCATACAATCGACATAAAACAAACCTATGAATTAATTGACCAATGAAAAAATTTCTTAATGGGAAAAAGACAATGAACCGAAAAAATAAACGAATAAACAAAAAAAATGAATGAATAGCGGAGAAACTGATGGAATGAACGAGAGAATGAACGAGGAAGGAAAGAAGGAATGGTATGCTGATCGCAAGCAATATATCGATAACGAGGCAGGTTAGTTTGTATTCATGGCTTCACACTCATCACTTATGTATGTGATTATATGTGTAGCGTATTATTATGCGCGCATGCGTGCGTGTGCGTCTGCGTGTATTTGTCTGTTTGTATATCGCATGGTTTATATCTTGGTGTTTATAATTTTGCTTAACTTTTAATATGACTTGAATAAGAATATTTGACTTGACATGGAAATTTTTTTAGAACAAGAGTTGGTTTAACCTCAGGCAATGATGAGTTTAAATATTTTGAATATCTTCAAAATATTCAACAAAATTGACTAAATTTTTTATTAAAAAATTTGGACAAAATCACACATTCTCAATGATTTGATAAAAATATACAATATGATATAATTTTAAAAAAATGCAAGCACAGGCATTTAGAAATAAATTGCACGTACACCAAATGCATTCAGTAGACTGATTTATATATGCAAACTGATATGACATAGATAAATACGGTTCTATTTGACATCAAATGACATACATCAGTCGTACATTGTATTGTACATATCCGTCGTACATTGTATTGTACTGTATGTATATACTTACTGTACAACGATCACACACGTGTACAAACAAATGCACGTACTCATAAGATAAACGTAAACAATGCGTACACCAACGACTCACCTACCTACACGCGCGCACGTGATGAAGACAATGAAGATATAATGGCACGCTAACAACATGTGATGAAAATGAAGATGAGAGATGGTGATGTGAAGTGAGGGTATCTAATAGAAGGTAATGTGTTGAATGTACTGATGAATTATTGACTCTTCCAAGCTAGCGCCTTGTTGCGTGTTTGTTAATATTTGTTTGTATGTCAAAATATTGGCTTACACGTGCGTGCTAATGCTGGCCTGTGTACGTAGGGCTGCTTATTTATGAGATGTTGTTTAGACTTTTTTTCTGGCCCGCTAATGTGTGGGTTTATAGGTTTGCACGTTCTGTGTCAGCGGATTCTTTGATTAAGGAGTTTAAATGGAAAATATCAATGTCAACAAAATATTTATTAATAAGTTCTAACGATATCAACAAAAATTTTGATAACACAATAAAAAGCAGTTTAGTGACAATGATGAAAAATTCAACCAACAAACTAACCGACCAAACAACCGGCCATCCAAACAACTAGCTAAATAGCCAATCAAATAACCAACCAACCAAACAAACTGCCAACCAACCAACCAAACCAGCAAACAACCAACCAAAACACAAACCAGCAACCAACTAGCTAACCAACCTGAATAATCCTTCCATGTTCTTGCTCTCTGACAGCTTGTTCCTCATGCAACTCAGTGCTGCGTTTGATGGGTGGTGTTTCAAGTTAGCAAGTTGGAAACATTTATTGATCAAATTCAAAAGCAGTGATAACAATACATGGTGTAATTTCACCTCAATTGAAATTTCAAAACTGTTTATGTGATGTGCGTACGAAAATGTGCTCACGTGTGCATCGCAAAAAATCAACAATTGGTGAAAATGAATGAAATTAATTAATTTTATATTACGTACGTTGTTAGGACAACATTCAAGTATGTTTACATCAAATCAATTAAACATTTACAAAGTAAAATGAATAAGTCCTAAATAATGTCAACCTATCAAGTTGTAACATTAAATTTTAAGCAAATACTATTGGATATATATATATATATATATATATATATATATATATATATATATATATATATATATATAATTGATATTATGTTTTTAGGCAGCATATATAAATTTTTTATCAGAATATAAAAGTTGCATGTTGAATTGTTGGATAGGTGTTGGTTGTTGACTATATCAAGAAGGCTGTCGAGAGGATGGTGGTGTTGGAAAATAATTAAAGTCCCATGTTATGGTGATGTGTTGTGTGGGTGCTTTCATAAGATGCTGAGTCGGTGTTATCGTGATGTTGTGCTAATGTTTTTACAACAAATTGTTCTTATTTTGTCCTAACACTGTGTTGATGCAGTCTTAAGAAATTGTGCCGTGCTATCACTAGATGCTACGACTTGATGTTGTAATTATAAAATGTTGTGATTTGGTCAGCAAATAAGATAGATCTGCATTGCTTATATTAGGCGCTGACCTGGTTCGAATGCACAGTGTGTTAAAAAACGATCATGGTGTAATATTTTTGATTAAAACAAATGCTCTTAATACGTCGGTGTTGTATAAAGCAAGAAAGTTAAATCGGCGTCAAGACAAGTAAGGAGAGATATTTAAGCAGTCCTGAATTTGGAAAGTTATTAATATTAATGATGTTGATGTTGCAGGGAGAGCTCATGATGATGAAATGTTAGTTCTATGTTGTGACGAGATGTTCACGCATTGATGCTGTGATGTTGTTGTGTTGTGATGTTGTTGTGTTGTTGTGTTGTGATGTTGTGATGTGAGGTTTTTGTGTTGATGTTGTTGTATCGATGTTGTTGTGATGTGATGTTGTGGAAAAATGTTGTGTTAATGTTTGAATGAATAGATTCGTTAAAATGATGAAAAATTGCCAATGATTGTGTGAGTCATTAAAACAATAAGTCAACATTCAATTGGTTTGATCGCAATATTGTTTTAAAAAAATTATTTTGGGCGGATACTGCACCTATAAAAAACTCTACAATTATAGTTTCACAGAATTGATATTTACCGAGAATAGAATATTTAAAACTCAAACATACAAAAAACCGATTGACTAACGTAGAGACAAACGGTAAACAAATAAATGAACAACAACATAACAAGCGATGAACAAACAAACAAACGTACGAACAGGCATGCAGACATACAGGCAAACATACAAACACCTCACCTTTCCTCAGTTGTATGACGTGACGTTCAGTGTCGTGCAGTTGTTTGGCCAGGCAGTTATAACTGTGGCTCAGTTGCATGTGGTTGTTGATACTGTTGTTGTTGATGCTAATGTTATTGTTGATGTCATTGATGTTGTTGAAGGTGGTGTTGTTGCTGTCACTGATATCACTGGTATTGACGATGCTATTAACGTCGTTGCCAACGAAATTGTTGCCGCTTTTTGAAACAATGTTGTTGTTGTTGTTGTTGTTGCTGGGATCGGAAATAATTTGCTGTTGAAGTCGTTGCTGCTGCTGCATTTGCTGCTTGATTAAATGCTGATTGAAGAGAGAATAAAATGCAAAGGAAGTGTTTTGCTGAGTGAAAAAATTGTTGCTGTTGTTGTTTTTGTTGAAAGAGTTGATGTTGTAATTAATGTTGTGGCTGATGTTGTGATTGCTGCTTATTAGCAAATTAGAACCGGCAAACTGTTTGTTGTTACCGCCAAGTGAACTTTTTGTTGCCATTGAACTGGCTGCAACAGAAACCTTCATCTGGTTGTCTCTGGTCCCTTCAGTGAGATTAAGGGGATTGAAAAGGATGGGAGCATGGGTAGCCAGTGAACTCTTTAAATAACCCGGTGCCACTCTTCGTTCCTGTGTTGATCAACATTTTGTTTGTATGTTGTCTATTAATATTGCAACTGCTGTGCATGTTGTTGGGTTGTTAAACTTTGAAAAATTGATGATCGATCAAAAAACAAATAAAGAAATGAAAGAGGAAAAAAAATGACTGGCCGCCAACCTGAACATCGTCATCCTCATCATCCTGTACTCTCCTCGCGTCACTATCTTCATCCTTTTCATCTGAAACATATTTTTACAGCAGTTTATAAGTTAAAATATTTTATGGAAAACTAATAAAATTTTATGTAACAGTTACAACAACACGAATAAACTTAATTATCGAAGTAGTAAAAACAATCAGAAAATAACTCATCAAAATAAAATAAATGTTGACGATAAGTTTATGATGCCATCGACATACGCGTTGATATGAATAGAGGTGGTTAAGATTTTTATTGTTATTATTTATGATTTTTTATTATTCTTATTAGCACGCACATCCCTACTTTTGCTCGTGCGTGTGATGTTGTTTCCGGTTCAAACTTTATTTGCATAGAGCGCTGATGTTCATACATCTAATAATCATAAAGAGCGATAATATAATATTGGTATGAATATGCAAGCACATCGCTGGCCCGTTGTTGGCTCTCTATAACATGTTCTGTTCATCATATCACGGCCTTACACATTCCCACCTATATACAAATATATCGGTGATATTTATTCTGTATAAATAAATAAAAGTATAATATATAAATGAATACATAAATAAATAACATGGAGCATGCTAATGGATCATTAATACACTTATGAAATGTATAGAAGGCAGAGAGGATAAGTGTAAATGATTGAGCGATTGAACATGAAGCGCCAAAACAAACAAGCAAACAAAGCGACTAACGAGTGAACGATCGAGCACACGACATCTAACATGTGCTCCGATCGGTTTGAATGACTGAACGTCAAGGCAACCACACGTCGGCATCACGAACGAGCATAGGAACGTTCAACAAGGGAATAGGAAGGTATTCATTCTCATTTAGAAAATAGTATAAACATTTACTCAACATATACAAGTCAATAATAAACTGACATCCATGATTCAGCATATAAAATGACGTACGCACATATAAGATACGCCAATATAAACACTTCTAAACGCATATACACAGACAGTCGGTATAATCAGCATGAAGAAAAAATTAACAATCGCACAAACACACAAACATACAAAGAGAAACCCAAGCATGCAAACACACAAACAACTTTTAACACCATGCAGTCGCCTCATGAAGTATTTATATTTTCGTAAAATCCGATAGCGGCCGGGTTATAAATTTTCCATGCCATCCAACACCACCCGTCAATAACTATTTATGAACACCTTCCTATAAAATGAGCGTTACGATCGGACCCGCGCTGCTCTTCTCACTCCACGCACGTGTGACCATCTTCCTCACGTGCACATGTGACCGCCTTTCTTGTCTGCCTCTGCATGTGTGTACGTGTGTGTGTGTACGCTTTATGTGTATGTTTCTTTCTTGTAGGCATATGTGCGTGTGTTTCGTGTATATGTGTGTTTTACGTGTGCATACCAAAAATGTATGTGATTGCTTATTTGACTGTTCATAAATGTTCAGGTATGTGTGTGTGTGTGTCTGTGAGTGAGCGAATCTGTACGCATCTGTATGTTTGTTGGATTGCGTGTTTGTAGGTGTTATTGCTTATTAGACGTTTGAATGAAATGCGTTTATATCTGCGAGTGGGTTTAGTTTTTGTATGCTTGAATATGATTATATGTGAATTCATGTTGTCATCTGATGTATCTATCAAGATGTTAGTTTCAAAAGATTTTTGTGTGTTTATGAGTGTGTTGGTGCGTGTCTGCACATGTGTGGTTTTCCATATTTGTTAACAATTTACGCTATTGGTATGGAGGTAGATTTCAAGAGTGGTTTTGATTAAATGTTTTAACATTTGTGTGAAAGTATTTTTTTAAACTCGGAGTTAAGGAGTGAAATGTAATTTAGAGATGCTTTCTACTAAAAACAAGAATGCGAATACATAAAATTGTATTTATTTAGTAATTTATTTGTATTTATTATTCCACTAATTTTAAATTTCAAATAGGTTTGTATACATTTGTGTTGAATGTTTTTCATAGAGATTCATGTACACAAAATCAAACAAACAAAAGTTCTTGAATGTGAGCAGATGATGCAAAAACACACACACACGCACACACACATACACACGCACACACATACTACGCACACACAAATGAATGTAGTAGGTTGTACGCGGAAGATTGAAGAGGCGCGGTCGTATTGAATCATAAAAATGAATTGAGATGATAAAAGGTGATGTTGATGTCCATCTCTACAATGTTTGTGCACTACTTCCATCTCTGTCTTTGTGTGTTGGAATGCGTGTGTGTGTGTGTGTGTGTGTGTGATTTCTGCCGCGTGTTTGTTGTGTGTGTGCGTGTGTGATCTGCATGCGGAATGCTTGTATGTGGCGTGTGTTTTTGTGATTATTTTTTTTGTACAAGTTAACAAGTTTATCTAAGAAACCAAACGTGGAAATGTGAATAATTATGTGTGTTTGCGGTTGTACGAATGTTGTTGTTGAGAATACAACACGCTGTTTTTGTTGTGTGTGTGTGTTGTGTAGTTAGTATGTGTCGTTGTGAGTTGTTGTGAATGTTGACTTGTCTCGTAGTACTGTAAGTTTTTGGCTGGTAAAAAGCAAAAATGATGTTTGTCACTTTTACCAAATTATTGTGTAAGAATTTGCACGAAAGTCTGATTAACTTGAATTTTCCACAAAAAATGATTCCAGTGAAGATGTTAGTGTGCTGCGCGCTTGCTAATGTTGTTGTTCGGCTGCGTTTCGATCTACTGGAAGGTTTTGTCATTGGTTAACGTTGAATCCTTATAAATTGAAATACAGTTTTTTGTATTGTGAGTTAGCAAGTTGTTTCAAAATTTGTCTGATACATTCCGCATTCATTCATCAAGTGAAGCGCTTTATGTTTATTCGTTTGATGTTTCAATAAATATGTGTTGTATATGTATGCTGTACATACATGTTTGTATGTAGGATGCCTGGTATGTTCACGCGCATATGCTAATGCAATTTGCCGTTTATATGTTTGTATGTTTATGTATTGTGATGGTTGTGTGTGTTTGTGTATTCGCAATCATGTTGGCGTTTGTATGTTGTATGTTAGTGTATTTATAACGATTCTGTTCTCTGTGTATTTGATTCATTCAATTTATTAACTATAAATAATACAAGTTGTTGCTAGTACAAAAATCGATGAAAATTTATTTTTTGTAACTCTTGCATTTTAATACACAAGTTATAACCGCGATATATTGCAGATAAAAACATTAATTTAAAAGTCTAATATATCTTTCATAAAACAATAAACTTATTTGGTAATACATTTTTTTTTGTAAGAAAATTTGCAAAAAATAACTCAATTTAACGAGATTAGTATTTGGTGCCGAAGAACGTTCTGCAGTTCTCCGTCGTCACTTTTTCTCAGATATTCGATATTTATTTAGCGTGGATACGCAAAGAATAATTGGCAATTATTTAATTATTTTACGCACGAAACTCGTCTCAAGTGTTTTGCTAATTTTGCCAAATTAACAGAATAACAAAATTGTTGATATCTTGTTCGGCGCTTCGTATTTAATTAATTTTGTTTAAATTTAATAGCAATGGATGTGCGTGCATATTGTTAACCAAATCTGCAGTTGAGAGCATTATTCTGAATTGATTTAATACGATTTTGAATCAAATATAAAATAAAAAGTAATTAGGGCGGTTATGAATAGAGACGATTTTTCATCAATCCATTAATAATTTAGAATAAAAATTTTTTTACGAACGAGTCTGATTGTATTATCTCAGCTGTCACATATATCAACAAAACAATTATTCCATTTCATTCGCCATTAAAATTGTATGAGCGAACGTTAACGCTAATCGCATGAGTTGCTAGAAACCGACGTAATAACAAAAATGTCTAATGTTTAATGAATATCAATTGGTTTTTTAATTGTTTGTGATGCACTGTTTTTCAAATTATCAATTAAATTCATTCTTGAGTTTAAAATATCACGAACGTTAATAGAAAAGAACATATATCATTGTAAATAAACTTTGTAATGGTACATTTAGATTAAAGATTTAAACTATAGAACAGAAATTATACAAAACAACTTGATACGAAACAACTGTATGTGTGCAGCAGAAATTTTTTTTTAAAGGCATCACTATAATTTATTCCTTGCACTTTTGCTCATGTCTTGGCAGGATCGTCAGCCGGTCAACTTAACATTCTTTTTACTTGCGAGCATGTGCGTTTGCGTCTTTGTGAGTGCGTGCGTGAGTTTGTGTGCTCGTGTGCGAATTTGTGTGTGCGTGAGTGTTTGTGGATTAGGCAATGTATATGAGTCGGACATAACTTTATAGTACAATTAAAATTAATAATTTTTTAGTTCATTATCGGATGATCTGACTTGGCTGCAAGTAAGTTTATTTATTTCTATTCAATTCGTCACCATCTACCATTCTTAACTTGTTCAGGTTTAAATCCTACTCAGCATTTGATTTTTTACTTTCGGTAAGTTCTCCCGCACTGCAAGCGCACACGCATGCGCAAAAGTATCGGATCACGTGACCCACGCATTTGAAGGATGCGTAACGGAAAGGTGGTGAGCATCTAGTGAGAAATCAATTGATGGCCACCTATAGATCATCCTCTTGGCTATCCAGGAAACCACAGTTGATTTGTGGTGGTCACACTCTGTGAGTGTCTGTCTGTATGTCTATACGGCTGTCTGTTTGTCTGTCTATATATGTCTATACGTAAGTAGTAATAATATACACGTAAGTTTCTTTTTTTTATTTAAAGGACAGCCATAATAAGTTAACAGCATAACTTGTGGATAGGCCACCCTTAACTACGACATGAAGTACGTAATTTAAAAAAATTAGAAAAAAAACAGAAAATATCAAGTTAGTATTTTGACGAAACCAGCAATTATTAAAAGAAAACAGAATAAAGATAGGTACGAACATCAGACTTAGAAGTTAGTGTCGGCATCTCTGGTCTCAAACAAGGAATCAAGAAAGAATTGACAAAGTAGGGTAGCGACACAGTATGTATGTATTTGAGCATCTGAGCACATACACAACATATCAATTCGAACACCGAAGATGGTATAGAACACCGAAAAAAGCTTTTTTGTTCTATCATGCATAAAATAAACAAAAATTTTGGTTTTGAACTAAAGAAACTTGAAAATGATTTACGATCAACCGTTAAAAAAATCGAAAAATTAAATAGGAAGTTAACTAACGCCGAACATGCTTTGATTTTCATCAATAATTGCATTTATGAGAGTCTTAATCCAATACATACATATACATATATATTATATATATATATTATTAATTTTAAAGACAGCAAAAACAATGAATGAACTGAATATAAGCTAAAGTAGCTATTATAGTAAAAATATAACCAAAAATTTTCACAAGAGCTACCAAAGTTACCAATTACTTCCAAACGTTAAAAACAAAACAACAATAACAACAACAACAGCAACATATAAAACATGCAAACTACAATTACATAATAATAATAACAATAATGATAGTGCTAATAAAACAGCAATAATGATTATAAGAAGAATAAAAATAATAACAATAACAATAGTGACAATAGAAGCACTAGCGCACAATCGATAACATACCAGCAGCAACAACAACAACAACAATAAGAAGAGAAAGGAGACAAAAAATAGCACGCAACAGTCTTAAACATTGAATCTTGTTACACACTCAATCATTCCAGATATAACACGAGTAAAATCAATCTTTCCATTGTTTATAGTTTCATTCATTTCTCTCCCTTCCTTTTCCTCCATCCATTTTCCATTTTACTGCATTATTAATGCCTGATCGTTATAAGCATATTACAATGTATTACTTTATTTCATTGTGGGCTCCGTATATTATACATTACCTTCGATTTTGTTTGTTTTGTGTGTCTCGTTAAAGATGTTTGTGTGCGTGTGTGCGCGCGTGTGTGTTGTCTTTTGTACGTGTTGTTGTATGGTGTCTATGACAAGTAATGGACGGCCCAACAATGTTAAGTTGCTAAGTTGCCTGAGTCTGCAATAGCGGGAACTGTCTTCTAATGAAAGCAGTTCACATTCCACCTATCACATGCAACTAAAACATTGAATGCTAGCAAGTTGTTGACCAGTATAAAATTTCAGAAAGTTATCGAGCCAGGCCCTCAAAATAATTTACACAAATTTTCATTGTTTAACATTTATTCTTACATTATTTATTGCTTGCAATTAAATGAGCAGTATATTAAGGAGTTTACATGGATTTATTTTTAATAAGGTTATTTTCATTGATTTTAATTTAAATTCAACTAAATATAAACCCTCCTCCACTCAGAGGTACGCTTTGAGTAGTATATGCAAATTTCGTATGAATATGTTCAACTTAATTAATCAGCTAATATTACAAACACAAACTTGTATCTTTATTGAAGCAAACGTTTCATTGATTTTAATTTAAATTCAACTAAATATCCATTGTTTTCCTAAAAATTCTCATTAACTTTCAATAAATTTATCATCTAGAAGATCAGCTTCAAGATGGAAACATACTTTGTGGTACAGCATTAAAACGTTCTTCAGGCGTCAGCAAGTTATTGGAAGGTTTGTGGAGTAGGTGTTTATTCATGAATGATCTCAAAACAAAGGAAAGTAATGGAAATAATTCATCCCAGCTTTCATTATTTACTACATCGTGCTCTACCGTGCAATTGCTATGAGGGAACGGTAATTATTATTTGACTATTAGGACACACATTATTCCATAATTTATATAGCTATGTATATGTATATATATATATATATATATATACATGCGTGTGTGTGTATGGTGTGTGTGTGCGTATGTGGTGTGTTCGTTTGTTTGTGTGTGTGTATTGTATCTGTGCATTAGAGCTTGCGTGTCTGCGTGTCCATGTGTGTCAATGCTGCTGAGCGAGACAAATACTCTTTAGGACGTTTTATTTTATATGCTGGCACGTACAAGAATTGACATTTCACAATTGAACTTAAGCAGAAAAAACACTATCAATGCATAACAAGCAGCACAGAAACACAATCATTCACGTTGACAATTATAAAATGTTAGGTATAAAAGCTTATCGTGTAATATTAATTTAAAGATTTCGATAACATGTCGCATTTTAATAAAATTTTTATTTTTTTTCATAACCGCTGGTAGGAAATGCATGCCTCTTTTTTAATTTGCCACTGCAATCAAAAGTTTCAGCACACAACCATGCAAGGAAGTACAAGCCATCTTACTTACATATGCGCCTACAAGATGCATAAAACATTTGAATAAATAGAATATCACACAACCTGCCAACTTGCACGCAAACTACGCAAATACTAATGTGAACTCACGCAAACACACATGCGAACATACGCAAACGCACATGCGAACATACGCAAACACACATGCAAACATAAATGCACGTCATGAATTAATTTTGTTCAATAGAATGTGCACGTCAATTTGAATGACAGCTAGGAACGTTTAAGCTGAACGGAAAGAAAATTATTGGACGGAGAATTATTAATATGATTGACGTCATCACAACCGCTGTTGCTTGCAAAAAGTATAAGAACGAAATAAGAACATGTGAACAAACAAACGAACGAACCAACCGACCAATGAACGAACGAATGAATCAACCAATAAACAGATGAATAAACAAATGATCGATCAAACGAATGAATGAATGAACGAACGAATAAATAAGCGAACGAATGGATGAATGAATAAATGAATGAATGAATT